AAAATTGGAATCTTAATCGTCGAGTTCGACGTTCCGCGAGATGCTTCAAATGTCGGGACGTTAAAACTCCGGAAGCAGACGGAAATACGTCGACTATAGGGGTGGATAGACATATATTTAAGTCCCCACAGTCGACGTATTTTCATTACTTGATGGTTTCGGCATCTGCGCTCGGAGTTTTAACTCCGACGGTTAAAAAAATCCCGCGGAACGACAAATTCGACGATAAATGTTACGCATCAGGTCTCATTTGAAGTTTTTTTTTTTTTATTTTATTGTGTTTAAACTGAAGAGAAGATGAATAAAGTAGATAATAATACGCTTGTTAGCACCATATGAGGTCATATCACGCCGTATATATCATTCGAAGAAAAGTTTCGCGCTTTTTCAATAAAAAAGTTTTTTTTTTTTAAAATTATGATGACTTCTACTCAAACTAACATAAAAACACTAGAATAAGTGAATTAGAATGCTATGATGAAAGTAATTTATTTGATTATGTTCTTCTCGACAATTATCACACGGTTGGAGTTTTCATCTCCAATTATCAAGTTTCCTCCCCCCCCCCTCTCATGTCCCGGTCCCCTTAAAGAATACTCCTATAACTGGTGATGGGGGAAGTTTCGTCCAAACGGTATGTCAGTATCTAAAACCGTTGTCGAGATGTGAGCAAGTATCCGTTTCCGACACCCTGTGTAACTGGTTACAATTCAGCCGGAGTCTTACAAGCGATGCAGTTTGTTTTTGACACTTTCCCGGGACCATAACATGCTATTTCTAGGTGCCAAACAGTGATAATTACTAAAGTAAATAAAGCTGATGAGCAAGGCATGTCATGCAGCTTCGAAATGCATTGTTGACGTCGACAAAATCAGTTCATCCTCTTTGTAAGCGAGATGCCAAGTTTTCCTTTATCTGTGGCTAAGCGTGCCTTGAAAATTTCATCCGACTTTGATTTTTCAAAGGGTCAATAAAAGTGCAAATAAGAATTAAAATAAAGTTTAAAGAAAATCATAACCTGGAACTTGAAACTCTCGTAATAAACCAGGCATAAAGGTCCGTCCAAACGCCGACTCTCAGCGTCTAGCCATAATACTGCAATAAATATGGTGCCTGAAGTCATTAACCTCTCCGCCTGGTTTCTTCTACCTTATGGGCTTGACAATTAGTGATGCATACATTTGTGCTGGTCGCTCAACATTTATTACTAATAAAACCAAAATAGAAGAAAGTATGCACCAAAGAGGAGTGACATTAATAAGTGCAACGAAGAAAACTGCTTCCTGGACAATTCGTTTTTCTCGCACAGATGCGTCATGCAGAATTGCTTTTTGCATGTGACACGCAGCAACAGAAAAAGCTACTGTAAAACCAACAGTCAAAAAAAGGACAAATGCCCTCACGTTCTCATGGGTAAACATCGTTCAGACCGGAAAGGACCACTGTTTTCACGTGAAATCTATTTTTCACAACTTTTACATATTGCCTCTATAACCATATGCAATCCTCCTATGAAACTGATCCGATTACTTTTATTCTAAACGGAAGGGTGATTTTTTTAATGCAGGTGTCTGTGTCTGGCAAGACTTATTCTCCTTTTTTCATCACCTATCAAATGTTCGAGAAATTACATCTCCCCAAAAGACGTGTGTTTTGACACCTAGAAAAAGCATTTTGGGTAACATTTGGTTCGAAAGTTTGGTCAGATAACATTTTGCAGTTTTTTCAGAATTTGCCTGGCACAGAGAAGCAAAATCACGGAAGTTTTTAAACATGGACGTTCAGTTGTTCTCCATTTAAAGGGTGAAGTATAAAAGGTAGTCTGCATCGTCGCAAACTGAGATACGTGGTTTGGTTGTTTCACCATCAAATTGTCACATTCTTCGGAATTTCACCTGATTTTCATTTGAAGCCAAGACCGTATCAGTCAAAGGTTTCACATATTCTTAGCTGCTTTACCTATACTCTTAACTGATTCCCAGGTTCAAATGAGAAGCAGGTGAAGAGAGAGTGGTGAAAAAAATTGCCTTCGTGGATTTGAATCATGATCTTTGGCGGATGAGACCATCGTGTGACGGAAGATGAAGGGGATTACACGCTGGGCACTCTCTCTTTCTGTTCGCCAGCCCATATCATACGGTACGGCGTGCTTCTTTTTAAGGCGCTCGGCTGAACTTTCATGCTAAATAGCTGTACTCCAAAGTGAAGTTTTTTTTTTCTTTTTTATAACGACTCGCATAACAAGTAACTAAATTGGCTTTCATAATAACAACCTATCTCATTTATTCATTATGAGATCCACGGATCAGTTCACACGACCACCATCGTTCTACCTTGACCATGCTGTGAGCATTTTTTGAGCTCTAGCTCTAAACTGCAGGTCAGGCAACCTGGAAACATTGAAGTTACTAGTAAATGAAGAAAAATCCTCCAATGAACGTCCAGCTTCACTACCGAATATTTGAAAAAAAAGTGATGCCCCAGAAGAAAAAAGGACCCGAAGTGAGTAACGAAAGTCAGGAGTAGAGTAGTCAGGAGAGCGACGCATCATGATTTAGGTCAAAATTATCGATAGTCAGTTTTCAATGTAATCGATTTTTGCAAATCTCCAGAGAATGTAGTTGAAATGTTACCAACTGGTTGTGATAAACGCACGAGTCATTTAGACAGAAAATCCTATGTGAGTCTTTTGGAGAGAAATATATGCTCGAAAGAGCTTTTTCCCTCTCATTTTTCTCTAAATTGTAACGCACGTTGGCTGTATTTCTAATTTTCTGTTGAAATTTTAATTCCTAAATTTAATTTTTAACAATGTTATAAGCGTTACATGTGAAGGGGGCCTAAACCGGCGACAGTGCGAGGACTGACTCCATCTCAAAGCACAATCAGCTGAGCGTCTGTTATCAAATGCTCGCACGATAGCAAGGTTATGCTTTTATTATATCGAATGTTAAGGTATATTAGAGTTCACTGTACAACATTGAGGTCATTACACTAGTAGGAATTCATTTTTAATGATAATGACACCAAATTCTCGGGGTGTTTCATAGCTTAAACTGCGTTTTTCTCGAAATGATATATCATGGTGCACTCACTCAACGAAATCCCTCACATTTTTCTGGAAGGGGCTATTGAGATTTGTGGGGACAGGTCCCCTCGCCCCTCCCCCCCATTCCCGCCCAAATACGGCTGGGAGGAAAGAGCTTGAAAATCGCCTCTGTTGAAAAATAAGTTCCTAAACAGTAAAAAATGAAGCCCATGGGCCCCTCTTAGCTAAAAAAAAAAGGGGGGGGGGGAAAGGGACTGATGTGAGTTGAATTTCTCTACTGATTTCACGATACTGCCTCAATGATGCGAGTAGAAATCCAACATTTCTACCGATTTATATGTTTATTCGAGTTTCTAGTGGAGTCGCAAATTGACAGTGTCAGTCACTTTTCGATACAATGTATACGCGCGGTTCAAGACGTACACAGTCGAACCAAATTGGTGCATAAGGGATCTGGATGTTTTCGAGGGAGCTAATACGGGGAGGTAGGGATTAAAGTGAGGTGGTCGCTCCCCGAAGGGCGGAGAGGGGGTTACGAGCGGTAGGAGAAGGGGGGCACAGAAGTCGCCGCCAAGAGGCTGCGTAATGGAATTTTAGATTAGGATCTTTAGAAATCAAAATGAAAACGGCCCTGAACATGACAACTGATTGTGACTAGATCGCATCCTTAGGATAATATTTTAGATCAGACGTTCCATTGTCCTTTCAAGTGCTGCGTTACCAATTCAAGGAGAATAAACGCAATTTCTACACTAAGTTGGATACAAATACACTTTTTTCAATGAGAATGAAAAAATCGATCCATCGTTTTCTCCATGCTTTTGTATTACAGTATATTTACGCTACAATATTGTATATATGAGTAAAATTCTACACATTAATGACAACTTTGAACCTCTCACCTCTCATAAAATGACTCAACCCCCATTTCCGTCTCTTCCACTGATTCTCTATACGTGTGACAACCACTGCCGCACCGCGTGCCTGGAGGAGCGCCATTAGAAGGATGTCAGGATGTGCTGTAAAATCTGAATATTTTACACGGGTTTAACTGGAGGAAAATGCTGATTTTCCCGCACAATCTGGTAACAATGGTGCTTTATGAACATTCAAGCGTTGCCCAATCCCTCGATTCAAGAAGAATCATGAACATTTTTCCGTGAAAGTTTTGATCCACTCAATTAAATTACAAATAGCACACTTTTCTCGCCCTCTCTTTTTCCTTATATATAATTTTCCGATTACTTTACCTATTAGACTTTACCCATCCTTCAGGCTAGCAGTTAGCTGTTTTTTTTTTTTTCAATCCCCTCACAGTTTATTGCTTCTCTGTAATGATGTTTTGGTTTTATATTTTGGAAATTTCTGTCACTTTCTTATACTTATGTGTTGAGGTCGAATTTATCTCAAATAAAAAAACCCTTCGTATTACGTCATCCAGCGTGGCAGTTTGTACCATGTTGAAGCCAAAGTGGACGTAACCATGGTTTGTATTTAGGCGATGGATGATGTCATGTACCCTTGATTTTCGGAGGACATCACCCACATACTTAGAAACTAATTATAAGCATGGTGGACAAAACTTATTATTTTTTGCCAATCAATAAGCATGAACCATCGAAACGCGATGTGGCTAGCGCAACTGACCCATGGACAATTGCTCAAGTGCGCACAAACAAGTGTATGTTATCTGTCGACTTTCTTGGGGAATATCCTCACATGGAAAAAACAGTTTTAGTTTCAGAACCTAGATGGCCAAATGGCAGGATCAAAATTTAATAAAGGTATCGGCCGCTTCCAGAGCAGGCCTGGCACTCCTTAAAAATTTGGGTGATTCAACTTTAAGACTCAGTCTTGGAATTTTTATTTTCGTACTCAAAATTATTTCGTACTCAATTTTTATCTTCGTTTTATCAAATGGCTCACATTTATATTCGCTATTTTTTTTCAGATCCAAACGGTGGCCATTTCTAAGGCGGTGATTGAGTACCTTTGACCCCCGAATTTGAGAAGACTTCGATCGTGGTCCACCTAGCATGAGAGTTCAAATCTTCGCGATTTACACAGATGCCTTAGCCACCCGTCAAAGGTAAGCCATCGTTTTCTACCTTCTAGGTTCTCAAACGCACGAGAGTTAAACAGCTGCTGGTTTCCAAAAACGTCTGAACCAGACAATGTTCCATTGGGCCGCTCCGCAATCTCCGCAAATCGAATCGATTCGCATTAGATGCAGAAACCACAATTACCCCCACATGTAATCGTAGAAACAAAAAAATTTAATTTTCGATTGAAAAACAATTTGATTTACCTGGCGACGCGACGCTTCGGGGAGAGATCAATTTATTCTGATCCCAGTATTTGGAAATACATTTTATTGCCGGTGCCAGTATCGTAACAACTAAAGCCAATTTTATGTTTTCTCTTTAGGGAAAAACCTCCGCACTCTGCGCACCGAATGTGAGCCCCTGAACCCCATACTTTACTGCATAGCAACTTCCATCTAACTTCCTAGAGATTCAGAGATCAAATTTTATCCCCGAGTAAGCATGCGGAAACGCCTTACTTCACAAATTTTTGTTTCAATCTTTTAAAGTCATGAAAAGGCACCTAAAATTTGAGAGGTTGAGTTGGCGTCCTCGCCTTTATTTTTTTCTCCATCTAAAGTCCCCCGTTTTTCGCGTGTTACTTGGAGAATTTATATTCTCCTTCACCCATCGAGTGTTTCTCAACGAAAATCAACCTATTTTCAATTGACAATACTTGAAATAGACTTTTCTCGGGGGATTTATTCAAAGTTATCCCACCACTGACTTCGACATTTTGGTTTTTTTCGAATTTAAGAAAGAATTAGAAAATATACACAACATTTCACCTCACGAAAAGTTCAGTTACGTACCCAAATTCTTTCCAAAAACTTTCAAGCCGATCGTCCAGACGTATACTAAGGTATACGCGCAATATTATTAAAATGGCCATCTCAGCCCCTGATTCAGACCAACAAAAGAATTCATTTGTTGACAACCATATTTTTAGTTTGAAAGCTTAAAGTATCATACCTGGGTGTTGCAGAAAAAAATCAAGTCGGTTGTCAGTGCAAATTGCGAGACATGGCGCCTTTTCTAGCCTCAAAATGGAGTCGTTCTATGATAAAACGGTGAGGTCCAGTTCCTAATCATCACCGATTTTGTTCAAATTTGATAAGCAGGATGGGTTCCTCATTGTAAGTAACTGATTTGAAATGTTATGCCCTGCTCTGACGATCCATTCGCGAAGTATGAGCTCGTAAAACAAAGATGATAATTTTTAGTAATTCCAGCAAAGAGGCTCGTTTTAGCGCTTTTCAATCGCTCAAATTTTCTCTCGTCGACTCTGTTTGATGGATCTGCTTTTCATCAGATCAATTACAAATTTGGTATAACATTGGGCCATCTAAAATCATTCACAGGTCCACTAACAGTTGAATTCAAAGTAAACTAGAGGCCATAAGCTTTCCGATTTTGGCTGCAGTTGCAAAGAAGAAAAAGAAACATCTAACTGGTTGCCGAATATGCCCAATATGTCCCTGACTGTATGTTGTACTAGGTGGCCCAAAGTTGCCCTTGGTGGCTGTAATGCCAACGTCATTTTAGGCTGGTTTTCAACGTATATTTTGGTCATGAAATTGAAAATCAGTTTTTCTACTTTAAATGGTCTCAATAAAGGATTTTTTTTACTTATAAAATGTTATGGCCATTTCGAATTCAGATGGGTTTTTTCCCCTAGTCCAAGGTGAAGGGGAAAAAATGGAATGATCAGCATTTCATACCGCGTAATAGACGGAGGGTTGCAACTTGCAACCCTTGATTTTGCCACCACGATCGGGAGTAGGTAGTATGAAACGACCTCTCTTATTGGTTCCTCGGTTAACAGGCCCCTGTTGAGGGGCGAGCGGGCGCTAAAATCCCCTAGGCCCCCCTTCTGTTTAAGAGAAGAGACGAATATGTAGAATTGTAACTGCCGAATATTACTCAATGAGTAATTCATTCTCATGGACCCTTCGATATTTCCATCGATATACTTCTCAGAATGCTAAGAAAGTATAGGGATCGTTTACTGCGTAACATGAGGTTAGTTCCATTCGAGTCCCCATCAAAGAAGTAAATGATGGGGAGGTTAGCGATCGGTAGAGGGCGCCCACGCCTATCCGTTACCCTAATTTTAATTATCATTTTGGGCGGTAAGTAGGAAACGTTCCTAGAGCCTGTCGCGGGAGGGGCGGGAATTTTCATTTTTTATTTTCGCGTGAATCACCATTTCTCCTCACAACGGCCGGTCTTGGATCGGATGCAGGTAGTATGGAAAGTATTCTCTTCTTAGTTCTTAGTATAGGGGATCGTCAGGCTTTGTGCGGATTTTGGTTGATTTTTTTGTTATCTGGTAAGACTTTACATTGTGCGAGTAGGGCATTCCCATCGGCGCGCCGCGACGTGCATTGCGTCCAATCCCGCTTTAAATTCAATTTCGGAAGTGAACGTTCTCAGACGTCAATGCGACTCATGTTTAAGGGAGCACTGCCTTCCTTTCTCCGTGCGGTCACTTTACCCCGTTGACCCCGTATTATAAAGAACGGTACACTGCCGAGCTGAGGAAAAGCGCAGTATGTGGAAAATCTACTTCTTGATCAAATCGACGGACAATCCTTTGCCGGACATGTTACGTAGAAAATTACGTTGACGGAATCGCTTAGGACAACAAGGTTCATCGACACTTTGACAAGGGAACAAGTTTCCATGAAGTGAACTAACATTAAATGGACTGCATTTTGAAATTTGGAACTATGGATTCTGGCCCGGTTTAAAAACAACGTATGTGCTATTGGTTTCCCTATGCACATAAGTGTTTTTTTCAGATGAGCCAGAATCTATAGTTCCAAATTGCAAAATGTGGTCCAATTAAAGGATCAATGTCAATAATATGCGATTACTTATAAAGACAATGACGAGTGTGATCTGCTGATAAGGTAAAAGATCCAAATTGATATAGGTCCCTTGGCGTGACTGCAGCTCAGTATTCCAATGTATCTACCTAAGCTGATAACCCCCCCCCCCTCCCCTCAATCGTGCTCTCAGACTCATTAGTGCTCAATTTTTTAATCTATTAGATATTCTTGGATTTTTTAAGCCTTGATTTCCCTGCATAAAAGTGTGGACCCAGCACAAGACCACCCTGTTACTTACAGTACGAGCCCCATTTTTAGTGGTTATTTTCCGTTGTTCAAATAATAGGTTAGGATTTTGCTAATAAGTTGCAATGCTAAGGGAGTGAACCTTATGCGCGAATCAAGCGAAGCAAAATTGGACTGAGTTTAACAGAAAGGAACCAAGCCACATCAGATGTTACCAAGTTTAACTCGGCAATTAAATTTTTTATGAGAGAACGTTTGTTCAGATTTCTTTGAAAATTTTAAGGATTTTGCTTTGTACCATGGAGAATTTTCACTGAAATTTGCGCGAAAATCCGCACAACCGTTTTCATGTAAAAAATTAAATTGCCCAATTAAATTTGGCAATAGCTGATGTGGCTTGGTTCCTTTCTGTTTAACGCGGTCCAATTCATGTCCAGGACGGATATTTATCCACAACGCCGAACCTCGTGCATCTNGGGGGGGGGGGGGGGGGGGGGGGGGGGGGGGGGGGGGGGGGGGGGGGGGGGGGGGGGGGGGCTGCGCTCTCCGTCTTGAAGCGCTTTGGTTGTTTATCTGTGTACATGCAAAACATTGGTGAGGTGTACATGATCGAATATCGATATTTTCCCATTTAAGGCTAGGATAAAGAATCTATATCTAGGTGCTCGTTGCAAGAACCCTGTTTCGATATTTTTCGATAGGTTTAAATGACAAATAAATCGATTTATCGCAAACTATGCCACGCTACTGATGCACAACTCTTCGATTCTTCCACGTACGATAGAGCGAGTGTTTAAACTTTCGTTTATTAAACTCTGTTGATGATTTTGGTGTATTCCAGCAGATTCTACAGCTTAAATTATGTTGATTTCTTAAATAATCCCAAAATTTAAAATTCGACGGATATTGCGCTTTTTCTTAGCACGGCAGTATATAACTTGGCTACAAATGCCGCAACGATACATTGTGATAGAACACCATAGCTGCATATCCTGCATACTTCGCGTCCCTGCCATCCTTTAGCCCTGTTTAGAATTGTCTCGTACTTTTCTGAAAAAAAGATAGAATACAGGCCAACTAACAGGCGTGTGAGTTTGTTTCCCAGAATGAGCTAAACTGGACACCATATGATTGCAGTTTGAATTAAATGTAGAATAATATTGGCTGCATTCTCCAAAGCGTGAAAAGAGTGGTGAGTGATTCAATGAACAAGTGTTCATGGAGAGCCATACGCCTTCATTCTCACAGTGCACGGACTTGCCCGAGCAAGCCTGCGTAATTAAGTCTGCATCGTCGGTGATTGCAGGCGTTTTTATTGTGAGCGCGCAGCTTAGCTGGGTTTCTTTAGTCATCCTCTGATTAGAATTTTCAGCCAATATTTGTTTATTTTAATTTGAGCTCGTAAACACTAAGGACCAAACAAAAGAGAAAAAACCCCGAAAATGATTCTATCTAAAATTCTATCAATAATTACTTAGACAAAAATTTCTAGAAAGTGGCGGATTTTGCTCGACAGACATTTTCTTCTCCTTTTGTCATCAAAGAGTGTCTTTTTCAAAACCATAAAACAAGCATTTTTAAAATATGTGCATTAATGCATACATGTTGTTCATACCAACCTCTGAGGCTCCCCGACAACAAGCCTTGAAAAAAGAATAAGACAAAAAAAAAAGAGATATTGGCGATTTTGAGAAAAACTTGTCCACCATAAAATTGGAACAAGAAAAATTGATCTCGAATTCAGCTATTGAACATTACTTTAAACACGAACTGTCATAGTGATTGTCGTTGTTAAATTTTAAACTCATCTTTATTAAAATCAGGAAATCTTATATTTACCTGTTTTTTCCACCGACGGCATATGACAGTCCTATAAAAATGTCTCTCCTACCGGAGGGTCGATGAACCTCTCGTAATGTGGTGGGAAACATCTTCTCGACAGAGTAGAAATAATAGAGCACACAGTTTTAGGATACTCATCCGAGGTGGATGTTTCCCTAGTTGGTCAGCGACCAAATGTCGCAGGTGTTTACAGGTCCCATGCCGCCGCCGCCGTCGCACAGTGGATCGAGTCGATGAGAGAGGTCGGACACGAAATTTTTGACTAAATCTACAAATTTTGATGTTTATTTCGTCATAATTTCAATAATTTGGGGTGTTTCTAGAAGAAAATAGCACGAGGCAACCAATGGAACCACTCTTAAAACCTCAAAGTTTTGTGTATACGGAGTTATGGGCGTTTGAAGTTTCCAAATTTTGTCCGTCCTCTCCTATTGACTCGATCCACTGTGCGCCACTGCGCCGCTCTGCATGCCGGTGCCGCCACCCGACACGCATACTAATTCAAATCACGTTTTGTTGTCGAAGTCTTTTTCGACTCGTTAATATTCCTCAGTATTTCGAGACATGTCGTCGCTTCTCTGACGTAAGGGTGATCTCCTTCTCCACGTGATCCCTGTTTTCAATGTAAATCAATGCTTTCTGGGGCTCATGTGGGAATCGTCCTACGCCCTTTCACGCCAGAAGAGCGACGTTGTGCCCCACCGTCACAGCCGCTACTTCGCCGGACTCGGGAATCACCATTGTTGAGAATCGGCAGAGCCGAATATTGGCAACCTCCTTATACCTACACTCGGAGAAGCCCCGAAGTTACCATGAAAATGACGAGAAAACGTTTCATTTTTATCTTTGGTGAACAAAGTCTTGAAAAATAATATTTAACCAATTTAGAAAACAACTCGAGACAAAATTTCAAGATAGAAACTTTGGGAACTCATACTAAAATTTACGAATTAATCCTATAAGAAAACGAATTTTGGATGCGTAATTCCAAAGATACAGTACGCTTAAAAATCGCTCGGTGGCAACCTTCAACGGTCGCCCTGGTTCGTGTATGACACCAGAACCAGAGTGTTCTCCTTCTAAAAGAGTTCCTTATGAGTAAAACCGTAAGAATGATCCCTGAGAGCGGCGAATTCGAATGAAAAAGCTCAGAGTTTTTGCCATTTACAGATTTCACACTGCACACTAATTCAGGGGCTTGGAGTGCAAGGCACATTAGTGCAGTTTCTTCTATTTTGATAAATGCGCGTTTAAAGCTTCGAAATCATATGGATCCTTAAGGTGGAAAGAAAGTTCAAACTCACATTTGATGCTTAACAATTTGATTCTACCCGTGAATTTATCACAGAATTTATTAGATTTAGTTGAATTCGCTAATATCTTAAGTTTTTCGAAAACTGCACCTGCGCGCCTTGTCCTTCAAGCCCCTCAATGGGCCAGTTGCGCTGGTCACAGAATTGTGTTTCAATGCTTGATTCCTTGTAAATCAACTAAAAATAATTAGATCCGTCCAAACAGCAACTTTCTACGTTGTATAATAACCGAGAAATCGTCCCTTGAAAAGTCGTGTTTTCGACGTCATCCACCGCGGCAGTGCATAACATTGTATGCATCACCGCGGTAGATGACGTCACAAATCGAGTTTTTCAAGGCGCGATATCTCGGTTAATATTCAACGTTGAAAGTTGCTGTTTGAACAGATCTTATTATTTTCAGTTGATCTGCAAGAATAAAGCATTAAAACACGATTCTCTGACCTGCCTAACTGACCCATTATAGTACCCTTCAATAGGTCTGTATTTTTTCTGTGTAAAAGGTAGATCTGATGATGATGTTTAAATCTGTTGCAGGCGGAATGGGTCCCCGGTGATCCGTTGAAGAGGATGTCCTGGACTCGGGAATAATGACGACGGCCGTAGCGGCGCACGCCTCCGATGGGGAGGGGGAGGGAGAGGGGGACGGAGGCTGGGAAACGCAGCATAAACTCCTCGGCGAGAGCAATGGGAAAACGAACGGGGGCCCACTCCCTCTCCCGCCCCTGGGCAACGGGACCCACCCCGCCCACCTGGAGAGCGACGACGAGGAGCTCAAGTGCGGGATCGGGGGATGCACCCCGGGCTGGATGCAGGTCTTCGCCTCCAAGCAGGGTTTCCTCGTTACATTCTGCATCACGTGGGTCCTCCAGGGGATGTACAATACCTACTTCGTGAGCGTCATCACGACCATCGAGAAGCTCTTCCAGCTCCAGAGCAAGACGATCGGGTTCATCATGTCCGCCACGGAGATCGGGCAGATCTCCTCGTCGCTCTTGCTCACCTACTACGTGGGCCAGGGGCACCGGCCTCGCTGGATCGCCATGGGCATGGTCCTCTTCGCCATTTGCTCCTTCACCTGCTCGCTCCCGCACTTCATTTTCGGACGCCAGCTCCTCGACGTCTCCGAGCCGTTCGCCGACGTGAACAAGACCAACTCCATGGCCAGCCTCTGCCCGGACCCCCGGTTCCCGCCCATCCTCACTGCCTCCTCAGGTAAGCATTCTTATTCAAATCTCCTCGAAAATCCTTGGTGTATGTGTCGCAGGCAATGGACCACTAGACAAGGTACGAATTTCAGCATTCTGATACATGTTTCTAAACCAAAATTTTACGTAAAACACGATTCTTACAACAATGCTCTACGTGATTCACATTGAGCGCTAAACGTTATCATGACAGTCTCTGCGATATAAAAATCTGGCAACCTCGATCAATCTTGACACTTTGGCTCAGCTATAGCTAATTGCTTATAGTTTGAACAACTCATGGTGGGAAATGAACATTGCTCGATTGAGAAGATCGCTGAAACCGTTGTAGTGTGCGATTTGACTCACGTAGAGCTTTGAGTTTCTTGTGAGCGGGCAGTTCAAATTCCTCGTAACCAATGTGTAATAAAAACGTTCATATCTTCGTTAAAAGTTGATTTCAGTAATTTTCGTTGTAAGAATCGTGTTTTACGTAAAATTCTGGTAAAAATGTCTGATTTTACTACTTGCCTGCGGCCTGCGTCACATATAGCTTAAAAATGGAAGTACCTACCATGCAACACGGAGGAAAAGAGACGATGGTCCAGGATGGATCAGGATGGAACTTCTAGTCGTGGCTGAAACGCAATGGAGTTGTTGCTGAACCGTAAAACGTTCGGGTCCAGCGGTGGGTACACTCATAATTGAATTTTGAGCTGAACCGCAACAAGAAGTATAATCAAATTCAACAACTGACCAGTGTACTTGAAATGGTGTTGATGTTCCGAATTTTATTGCGCTAATTTGAGTAAAGAACATGTTTCAATTGACATATTGATGATACCTGCAAAATTTTAAAAGGGTCAGTTGCACTAATTACAGAATCGTGCTTTGATGCAGGGCCGGATTAAGGGGGTGGCCACATGGGCCGCGGCCCATGGCGGCAAATCTAGAGGGCGGCAAATTTTGCAATTTTTTTTTAATATAGGTGTAAAAAAATATCGGATTGAGAAAAAAAAAATTACAAACGAGAAAAGGCGACAAAATCTCTTATTTCCTGAGAGTATAGTAATTTTTAATTTTGTCGTCTTACAGTGATACAAGAGACAGCACCTTTAATTAGTCGAGTTAAGAGAGAAACCAAACACGCAATTTGGCCTGGAACGGCGCGGCGCAGAGAGCAATGATGACGAGGACTCGAGATGAAAAGGAGAAGCCCTCGGCGCGACGATCGGCATGTAACACATATTAGCGCCTCCAAGACTGCATAAATACTTCACGCATTGCGCCAAACACAGTGCGGTCAGCGTGAAACGCATGGCGCCTACAAGACTTCACGCATTGCGCCAAACACGGTACGGTCTGCGCGGCGCGGCGGCGGAAGTTAAAATCATTAAACCACATTCATGTTTGTTCTTTCATAATTTTTTCGTTCATTTCTTATGATTGGAAGGCCTTGTCTATACAGGGATAGGTTTACGAAACTTAACTTGTGCTAGTAGTGTTGACAGGGCATTCCCAAAACATGTGTTCCACACGAGTAAACGTGTCTTATGCACCGCTCCCCCGCTGGCACGTTCACTTGATGGTTTTTATTGATGTTTCAATACGAATGAGAAGGGGGCGGCAAAATACAGGCGGCCCATGGGCGGCAAGTAGGTAAATCCGGCCCTGCTTTGATGGTTTTTGCTCTTACGTATAAGTAAAATATGATATGATCTGCTCTAATGCCAAACTACACTCAATTTTAATAGAGATATCGCTCATCGAAAAAAAAACGGTGTTATGATGAGGAAATGCCCGAAGAATTAGAGAAATTTTAAATTGTCGATGCCGTGAAAAACAAGAAGAAGTATTTAAATGTCCAAGTTTCTATAAATGTGTAAATTTTTGAGTGATCTGACAATGCGCTGACATATGCTGGTCAAAACTAGGAACTGGCTATAATTGTTTTTATTTGATTTCAGCTACCTACTGTAAGATACTAATGTGATGAAAAGACCGGTTAATACACCACTACTGTTATTACGTTATCTCGAATCAAATTTTGTCCCTCTCAATGGTGCTCAGTCGTCGAAAAGCCGCGGAACAATTTTGAAGTATAAATAAATGAAAATGTTTGAAAAACTATGAATTTTCATCCTTCGCCGAAGTTTCGGCTACCGCACCAACGCCTCTTGTTATTATTAAGTAGTTGTAAACGGATGAATTTTTTTAGGGGCGGAACAGTGCGAGGACAAGGACTACCAGGCGGAGCAGCGAGCCCAGTCGGACATCACGAACATCATCCTGGTGGTGTTCTTCGTGAGTCTCCTCGGGGTGGGTATGGGCCAGACCCCGGTCTACACCCTGGGCATCCCATACATCGACGATAACGTGGCGAGCCGAGAGTCACCGCTCTACTTCTCCATCACGATCGGGGTGAGGATCCTGGGGCCTGCCATGGGCTTCATCCTGGGCTCCCTCACGACGAGGCTCTACGTGGACCTCTCCGTGGACCCGGGGATCACCCCCAAGGATCCGCGCTGGGTCGGCGCCTGGTGGCTCGGCCTCGTCCTTGTCTCCACGCTCCTTCTCCTCTTCTCGCCGGCCATGTTCTCTTTCCCCAAGCGGCTCAACGGCAGCCGCCCGGTCGCCCCCGAGGTAATGCAATCCATTTCAAATACCTCATTCTTAAGCCTAGATTAGTCTCGAAAACCTCCATAAAGGGTTTAAGTATTACTTGGACGTATTTATGCTAAAAGGAACCAGAGACGGGTGGGAAAGAAGGAGTTTGCTCGTTAGTTGAGGGCTGTAAGAATGGACGGGAATTGTAAAGTGCCAATAACGTCAGCGGCGACGACCGAGCTCGAGCATGACAAGGAGATCGACAGGGGGACTCTGTAACTTATGAGCCCTGTCCATAACGCTCTTATCACATGCTCACGAGTTAGTACATTTTGGCGCTTGGTTCCTTTTGATTTAATGTAAATTTCCACTTTTCCATTTTGTCGAAAGGAAACACGCCCACTTTTACACTATTTCTCCTGCAGTTTTTACGAGCATACATAAGGTTTTTCTCATCATGCGTTATTCTATTCTTATCATACGTTCTTTCTTGTATCTAGATAAAGAAGGACCCAGACGAGAGGGGCAACCCCTCGCTGCGCGACTTCCCGAAGGCGATCAAGCGACTGCTGCGCAACGACATCCTCATGTTCAGGACGGCGAGTAGCGTCCTCCACTTGCTCCCCATCGCCGGGCTCTACACGTTTCTGCCCAAGTACTTCGAGTCCCAGTTCCGGCTGACGGCCCACGACGCGGCCATGGTCTCCGGCATCGGCGGCATCCTCGTCATGGGCATCGGCATCATCATCTCCGGTGTCTTCATCCTCCGGGTCAAGCCCAACGCCAGGTTCGTCGCCGGCTGGATCGCCTTGGCCGCTGCCATCTACGCCTGCGGTGAGTTCCCTCAACCCCTGTTTTCAACCTTTCATCCCCTGTTTTCATCCCCTATCTTCTCATGTAAACAAAACCCATATAGTACATAGAGTCGTAATGTAATTGAGAGAGCTGGCGCCACTTTTAGGCCTTTCCCAGGTACCGAATTCCGAGACTCCTGTGTCATGCCTTGTGACATTTTCGATACATGATCGATTGTTTGCGATACGTGGGGACCTGGCCATCCAATGTGAACGAGGAGGATAGAAATCAGAACGTATTCTACATCGCCATTTTGGATCGAATATGTTTCGAAAAAGTGACCGAAATGCGCACACCGGGCTCGGAATTTGCCGACCAGAGCATGGCGCCAGCTCTCCCATTTACATCACGACTCAACGTACTCTATGACAAAACCGGCTTGCATGCATTGGGAGTATTCAAAACCATGGTAAAGATGATCACCTATAATTTAGGTGGCGTCGCCTAGAGGTTAGGTGACATTACCGAAGGTTAGGAGGCATCGCTTAAAATTTAAATGACGTGACTCTGTGCGCGACTTGGCCACTAGACTGCGCTGGATGTCCACACGATCCAATTCAACGCAATTTCCTAAAATTTACTTATGCCCCAATTTTTCCCCTTTTTATGCCGTACGTTCAAGGAACTTGCTTTAAGAGTAACGATAAAATTGCTGAATCAATGCAAGTTTGGGTCTCAACGATCTAATTAGAGGTTCCAGCAAACACAGCTACCATATTTCTGACAGAAGGTTTTAGCAAATGCACACTGGTTCCATGTAGCGAGCGTAAGATTAGCATATCTGTACCCAATGTAAGGCTGACACGATGTGTGCATGAATAGCATTACAATTTTCCGTATGATATAGGTTCATTCTCATTAGGGGAAGAATATTCTCCATATGGTTCAACTCCCTCTTTTTCACATCTCATGTATATAGCCTCCTTTGTGAAATTCGAATCATTGCTTCTTTTTTCAGGTATGGTGATTTTGATGTTTGTCGGATGTCCCATGGACGATTTTGCCGGACTTAAGGAAGGTGATAAGTAAGTTCTCGTATTTATCAGATTATACTAAGGCTGTCCCTATATAATTTTTCTTTAAAAGTCTTTAAAAGTCATTTTATATTATCGAGATTCGCGTAATAGGTACTGTGGAATCCGCAGTATTTCTATGTGGGAAAAACTTATAGGAAAATCAGCTTTCAATGCGTCTGTCATATTGAAATAGAATGCAAAAGATCAGTTGAAGACCATATACCCTATATCATACCTACTTTTCGCCGTGCTGTTTCACCAGTGAACGGAGGTCAAAATATGTTTTATGATAGCTTCAAGCTCCATGTTTAAGGATGAGGTTAACGTACTGTTGTTTTATTGAAAATGACGTCAATTTCTGCACTTTACTGCTCTTCGACAATCCTTTCAAGCGCGGTAAAATGTGCTTTTTCAAAGAAATCAATTTACTCGAGAATTGATACTCTAAAACAAGATCATACTGTTACCAAGTTTGCCAAAACGCCTTCAATTTTCACGAGTAGGCAATTTTTTGACTTAGGAGCACGTTGGTCTGTATCCATTTCCCTGTGCTGTTTCGCCAGTTGAACGGATAGTCAAAGTGCGTTTTATGATTACGTCCCCCATGTTGATAACCTTTGATGATTTGATTAAGAGACAGAAAAATAACAGCAAAAACCGTCATCCTCGGAAACCCACCACCGCGTTTCCTTAATTTACCGCCTCCAAAAATGTGTCACCCTTGGCTGTGATCCATCCACCCAGATAAGACATAATATTTTTACAATATTGGGCAGATATTGTCAGTATTGTCGCAATATTTACACAATACTGACAATATTTTGATAATATTTTAATCAAAATTATTTTTTTAAAAAGATTTAAAGAATCTTTATTTAGTATTTTTTAAAAATAATATGTTTACCCAAAATATTATAACAATATTTTCACAGTATTGACACAGTATTTCACAGTACTTTAAAGTATTGGCAGTATTTATGCCAAAAAGAAATATGGTGCGCACTTTTAACATTGGCTCAATATTAAACCAATATTGGCCCAATGTTTGCATGAATATCAAAACAATATTGTTTAAATATTCGCTAAATATGTCTGTCTTATCTGGGCATGTAGCTCCTCTCCCTGTAAATTTGGCCCTATCCACGTCAGCACTGAAACTGCTTTGTCAGATAATTTCTTTATTTCCTTTTCTTTTTTTAAGGTAAGAAGTATTAAATATTATATTTTAAGTATTAAATAGCTTTAGCGAATAAGGGGTGTATTCACAGTCATCATTTTTAAACACTTCTTTTTGCCATATAAGATTTACACTATTCCTACGGGATCAAAATTTCTGCATCAAATATCAGAACTAGGTATCGATCCAAACACGTGAGCTTAAGTCTCCTTTTGTCCATCATCCAGTGTTTAAGTTAAATCTTGTATTCTCTATTCTTGCAGGTTACCACGATTCACGCCACAGTGTGATACGCCATGCGCTTGTGATGAAGGGAAGTTCAATCCTGTCTGTGGGATGGACGGCCGAACATATTATTCTCCTTGCTTTGCGGGCTGCCATAACAGCACTGTTGTTGACGGCAAAGTTGTCGAGGTATACACTTGAACTTGACTTTGAATTTCACTCACGAGAAAAACGTCATGCTCAACAACGCATCTCGTTGGCGATGTTTGAGAATCTCCGCCTCTATATTATTTTTTTAAAGGAGAACAAATTGACATCATTCCTTGAAGTTTTTGCAGAATTTTTTTCGCACAGAGAGGAAAAATCACGGCAGTTCTAAAAAATTTCCGTTGAGTACTTTTCTGTTTGAAAAATAAAGTATGGCAGGGAGTCTGCGACGTCGCAAACCGAGTTTTGTGATTGCCGACTTACACCGTCGATATGTATAATATGATTGAAATGACAATATACCTGTTCTCCTTACATTGATTGGTACTGTATGACTTAATTGACTCCGGGAGCAAAATTAATTAATTTAAAGCAAGAAGCTCAAAACCTCGCAGACGAGTCAGAAAGCGGTATAGTGTTCTTGTTTGTACTCGTATGCCTGCTCCATCCTATACCCTGATCTATACTCCTCTGCTGAGGTAGTTTTTGCTTTTAGAAGTCTAATTTTGTTATTTTTCGTTTTTCATTTTTCAGTTTAAGGATTGCACTTGCATAAAAAGCAGTAACAACTCCATGGAATCTTTCACTGTTGCATCACCGGGCTATTGCCACTCTGACTGTGGAAATTTTAAGTGGTACATAATCCTATTTTCCCTATTCGTGTTTGTTCACTCCACCTCTGAAGTTGGCAGTATGTTACTCATTTTGCGATGTGTGGATCCCAGAGACAAGGCAATGGCATTAGGACTTATTCAGTTTGCCATTGGGCTTTTCGGTAAGATTTCTTTGCAATTCATTAAAAACTTAAAAACGGAGTCAATGTCATTATCATTGATGGAGAGACGACTATTCTATAGATCTCATCGAGAATAATCAATTATACTAAACCAAAAAGAGTCATTTCTCTTCAGTTTATGTGCCTGATGTAGGTTATATCTTAGCGTACTTTTGAAGAAAGTACATCGAATAATCTTATTGACTAGAATACTAGTATTTTATCTTATTAATTTGAGAAACCAAAACAAAATTCAAAAAAAAAATCTGATCTATGAAGGGTGTCAAAAAAGCACCACCCACTTCCTTTTCATTAGTAAACAGTGACATCTATCGACATGCACTTTGCATAGGACTCTAGATTGAATCCTCAGCTTTTTTCGCTAGTTTTTAACTCATGCTATTGCATTTTAAAGATCCCGTAAAAACTAAACTCAATTTGTTCTTTCCTCTCCAAAACCTCAGGATAACGACTTCGTCCATCATCTAGCATCCAAAATACCAATTCGCCGGCATTTCAAAGAAAATATGTAATTTGAAGTTTCTAACCCACTTTCGTTTTTAAAACCATCAGATCCTTAGTTTAATATGGGGCAAATAACAAAAATGCCAACTTCCTGCCATTCTTAGGCCGCCATTTTGAATAAAAAACAAAGATAGTCCTGCGACTTGCGCATTGAAAATTTTGTTTTTTATTCCTATTCAGGCACTTAATCCTAAGAGGGAAGTTTTTTTTTTGAAAAATAGGTTGGGGTTTCCTCCTTGGAGGATTGCCTCAAAACATTTTGAGTATGACAAAAAGTAGTCCTCTTTGACCTAGAAACATCCCACAAGTTTGGTATCAAGAGCTCAGTTAAGAAAAAATTTAAAGGGGAAAGGAGTGTGTGTTGGAACCTACCGTTTTTTTTCTTCTTCTTTTTCTTTTGTTATCAGCCTATTTAATCCATTATTCTATTGCCTCAGGAAACGTGCCATGTCCTGTAGTATATGGAGCAGTTGTTGACTCAGCATGTTTAGTTTGGGATATGGCTTGCGGCAAAAAAGGAGCATGTAGTCTGTATGATGCCAAAGTTTTCCGCAGGTTTTACCACGGTATGTGCATAAAATACATTTTCAGTACCTCTAGTGACAAGTAGGTATACAAAATTTGATCTTAGTTCGTGTGAAATTGTGGAAACGTTAAGTCAAAAAGTTGTTGGCGTAAATACCACATGGTTGTCAGTTTATGTAATAAGTAAATGTATCGTATTATATAAGGCATTAAATACGTGTTGCGTGCAGTGAAAAAATTCCGATCTGTGGGTTCAACACCTGTAAACGCAGCCGTTTCTAAGCTTTAGATTTGCCAATCTTTGCGATCGACTAGATGCCAGTTTGGTAAAATTGTTTGAAAGATTCATCGGTCCAGACGCCGCAGAAAAGACGCTTCTAAGATTCCGTTTAAAAATTTAATCATGCTGAACCAGCCGATAGATTGCCAAGACGGCAAAGTGCGGGTATCACTCCAGAGACTTTAACGCAGCGCAGAAAAGTAGGCGCACCGCCAAATACAATTTGCTTGACGCACGGAGCTCTTATTATTTAAAAACTTGCTCACGCTGAACCATACCAGAGATTTTTAGATCTTTTGTGGCACACATTTGAGGGACTTGAAAGATAAAGCGCATAAGTGCAGTTTTTGAAAAAACTCAGATATTAATTATTTAAAGTAAAACTAGTCTCAATGCACATTCTGTGAAAAATTCGCTCCCTTATTCCAATTTTTAAGCATCAAAAAGTCAGTTTGAACTTTCTTTCCGCTATAAGGATCCATCCAATTTCGAAACTTCAAAAATCTCTCGAAATAGCAAAAACTGCACTTATGCGCCTTATCCTCCAAGCCCCTCATTTGTTCTTTGCCTGTAACTTCGATCAGCGAAAAAGGCGTTTCGCAATGAGTGTCACTCGTTAAGCTGCGAATGTGGCAATGTTGCGAAGGGGAAAGGATTTATGCATAAGTTTTTGGAAAACTGTGCTAATCACGTAAAATTACGGAAAATGTTGCATTGTGCCCGTAGGCAAATGTTCACACATTAAACGACATGAATTTCTGCTTTGCCTGTAACGTCGTCGATTCGCGAAAAACGTAATTTGCAGTGTATCGACGCAAAAATGGGTCAGTTGCGCTGGTCTTAGAATCGTGTTTTGATGCTTGAGTCTTGGAAATTAGCTGAAAATAATAATATCTATCCAAGCAGCATCTTTTTACGTTCAATATTAACCGAGATTCCGCCCTTTGGAAAATCGGGGTTTTGACGTTATCCACCACGGTAGTGACACCCTTAGTTCCTTCCATATTGCTTTCATCCGAGTTTCACTAGAGTACCTGTATACGGGAGATTATTGCCATCTCTGTGCCACTCTTTGATTGGTTCATCAGTTTTAGGCTATCATGGAGCTCCAAAAGTGGTCCAATATAAACAAACCCGACCTACACTGGAAGAAAAAACACATTGGATCTAGAGTCCAAACTCTTAAAAACATCGACAAGAAAAAATACCCTTGATTCAATCGGTTTTTAGTTTAAATCATGAACCGAGCCTCTTAATTTGAGCGGATTTCTTTTTGATTTAAGCAAAAATCTGATTGAATCAAGAGAATTTTTTCTTGTCAATGTTTTAAAGAGTCTGGACTCTAGATCCAATGTGTTTTTTTCCAGTGCAGAGGAATACGTATTATCGGCCGAGAAATGAATGATAATCACACTCAAAGGTTAATTTTCGGCAAAAATATCCATTAAAGCAGGTCGATCTGAACTCAATTCAGAGGTTGATTGTCAAAAAATTTCTATCTCATCCAAAATCACGTCTAGAACTTCGTAGAACTTCGTCGTCATCTTTTCTGTTTACATTGGGCAAAACTAGGAGCGGAGAGGCTGGGGTTTGTTTACGTTGGGCCAACTTTGGGGCTCAATGATAGCCGACCAATCAGAGAGCGGCACACTTTTTCTGTAGTAAAAGGATAGAGATGGCAATACTCTCCCGTATGCAGGTACTCTAAGTTTCACGCTGAGTAACCAGTGCAAATGTGTGTCACACTGAATGAAAGCAAGGTGGAAGAAACCGAGGGTGTCAGTACCGCGATGGATGACGTCCATAACTCGACTTTTCTAAGTGCGATATCTCGGTTAATATTAAACGGAGAAAGTTTCTGTTTGGACGGATATTATTTTTTTTTTAGCTAATCTACAATAATCAAGCATTAAAACAAGATTCTGTGACCAGTGCAACTGGCCCGTTGTGTCCATGGAGACATTATGAGATCTTTAGGGGCAAGCCTTTGTACCTCGCATGTCATACTGCGATCGGCAAAAAACGCGATTACTCGGGACAATGGATTCATCAATTTAATATTATTTTTTTATGTTTCAGGTACCACTGGTGGAATTATGTTACTAGCATTTTTTGTGGATTTAATAGTTTGGTTCAAGGCTGGCAGCATAAATTTTGCAGATGAACAAACTCCCGCCCCCGAAGAATTGAGTCCTATAAATGAAAAACCAGAAAAATCAGAAACTAGTGTGTAAAAAGAGGTGAAGTGAAATTTTGCATCGCTGCTTCATTTAAAAACTGTTCTATTTCTCCAAACTCAAACACTTGAATGTACATAATGTCTAGTATTTTACTATATTCTCATGACATCACGACTTTAAACGGTCACAAAAGTTTTTAAGGAAGCTTTTATACGATTTTTAAAATGTTTCATTTTTTTTTCTGTGTTCCGATTAGTCCAAGTTTCACCTGTTGCATTATGATCAATGCAGAAATGAAGTTTCAGCATTTTATTGTTATTTCTTGTCGTAATTTATTTCGAGCCATATTTAAATGTTTAACCTAAATGTTATGTATTTTATTTATTTTTTATTTATTTATTGTTATTTTATTCACCTCATTCAGTGAACAAAATGTAGGTACCAGATACTGACAATTTTACTGCGTTAACATTCAGCAAGGCTGACATTTATCGATAGTTTTTATTATTTATCAACAATTTCAAATGTTGTTAGAAAATACCATCAATTGTTAATTTTCTCTCGAAATTCACGCGTAAACCTCTTCAGCGCAAGTGAGTTCAAGATGGTTTGTTGGAGTTTTGCTCTTTTAGATCTGTTTACTTCGTAAAAATGTAAGTGATATACCCCTGCCAACAAAGATCATTTCACACTTTAATAATTTCAATCTTTGGAAGAATAAGCAAATTCACATCTTCGGAAAATATTTTTCACACCAAATAAGTCGATGGTTTTCCTTATGATAAACTGCAGTTGAAATAATAAATGCAACGATTCTTTGTTTTCATTTTTTAGTACGAGTAATAAAAATAGTGCGGGGAGAATTTTAGAGTACCGACATGTGTTAAAAAAAGGTAATGACGATACGAGAGTTATAGGAAAACCCTCACATTGAAAAAAAATTGCCAAATTTAGGGCAGTATGTACGTAAAGTCTCGATTATCCGCGTTCCGAATACCGCGAGTTTTCTTTTCAGTTGCTTTTTTCATGAAGTGGAAGGAAATTTGAGGGTCTTCTAAGTTAAAATGTATTAATTTAGAACCAACTATAACATTTCTTTCTAATATTTGACGAGAATTTAAATAGAGTATTTTCAACTATAGCCTTCTTGGTCATTTTTCCTGACCAAAGAGCTTATCCTCGAATTAGCCGCGATTTTCGATCATCGGTAGCTCCGGTTTGAACCGCGGATAACCAAGACTCTTCTGTTCATGTAATTTTACATCTTGTTTGACAATTTTTGTTAGTTCCAACATACGAAGGAAGAATTAGTTACTATTGATGATTGAAACGTAGAGGCCTATTTGTTGCTCAGTTTTTTGTTAAGTCTATCTCACTTAAATTTTAATCTTTTTAAATTTTGTTAATTTTATTTGTCATTTTAGTTGAAATTTTATCCAAGCGTAGAAACAATCTGTGATGGATCCATAGGAAGGAGAACTGTATAATCTTAAAAATTGTTGAAATGAACCTGAGTAGTGGTCGTGATACGGCAAATTTATGATTTGTTTTAGTCTCATCTTTTGAAAAGAGAAAATCACACTTTGAAAGTGCTTTCATGTGAGGAAGACCGGGGCACAGTGTAAAATAATTTTTCATTTCAATTTTTTGATCCCTCTGAGGAGATTTTTAGAAGTTCTTTAACAAGAATATATATTTGTGCCTAAAATGTGCACGCAGATGTTTTGACTATAGCCTGTCAATGATAGGAAAGTTTGGAAAAATCAAAATGATAAAAAAATCATTACGCCCTGGCGCCGCGGCATTGTCATCGGCGACCCTGGGGCTTCATAGATACCGGGGAAAGTACCAGTTCACCTTTTGCACTCTATCGAACCCAGTTCCACCTTTCTCTTGCCTTTACAATGACGATTAATAAATCCTACGGTCAAATGTACCTTCGTGTGGTACACCAGGGCACTCAATGTTAAAGTCTTATTGAGTTCTAGGGCAAAAGAAAATTTGTTATAGAGGAATAATACACCTAAAAACATGCTCTTTCGTCAGTTTTAAGTAGATTTCCCCTAAAAATAGGTCCAATATTAAATAAAAACGGAAATGAGACAGTCTGAGAAAATTTACCTAAAGAGATACAAACTCTTACCATGACAATATTTACGAATGATCGAGTGATCGTCACAAGATGGAGGACCACTGAAGGTCTAACAAGTCATGTAAATCCGCATTCCTCGCTTAAAACATTAGTGCACCAACATTTATTTCTTCACTGTGCCCCAGTGATGCCCTTCCCTAAAACTATACTGTTACATTCAACTTCCATGCACCTCTTTGACTTGTGATTTTCAAAGGGTATTTATAAGGATTTTTACTCTACACCCGTTTTCTACCTCAACCGACTCTGTATTGCTCTTTCGTTGATCCCCTGCATTTAAACCATCCAAAGATTACTTTTTTAGACATTCTCTAAAAATACCAACTTAATTAGTCTGAGGGAGATGGTTTTTAGAATAAATCAAAAGAATGTTCTACACTGTCATTTTCTTACTGTAAATTAATTTCAAGATTAGCCCCGCGCCCTTTGCATGTGGTAACATGTTCTAAAACCATTCAAGCATCATGATTTATTCATCGACTCCTAGGTAACAGGTACCTATCTCAAAGAAAGAGCCTTACTAATTCTTCCTGCATGCTCATATTTAATTACTTGTTGTTTGGATTGTGTATGTAGCAACGAAAAATGAATGTTTGATTACAGGGGGGCGGGGGGCGGGCACCTCTCAGCATCAAATTTCCGAAAAAGGGTTTTTTTTGTCGTAAAAAGGCGGTGTAATTTATTACGAAGATTTGTAAGTAAGAGATCTCTGCGTTTGCAAAATATTATTTTCCACTTTCTTTCACTGCAGAAACTTCTAAAAACTAAGCATCACTAAAAATTAAGTAGATAATACCTAATTAAGCTCATTGATGAACCAACAAATTAAGGTAACTCTCAGGAAACATGTTGTCACATCACCAGCATTATAATTATCGCCATGAATTTCATCCGTATTCGTGAATATTTTTCTTTAAATTATACATCTTTCACATTGAATTCAAAGAGTCCAATATAAATATGACAAATATTTTTTTATTTTTGTTAATCAAGAAATTGATTATAAGTACCAATAGCCTACTGGCCCTATCTTAAGTACAACTATAAGAATCTTGAAAGTCTCCAAATCATCACATAATTGTATTTTTGTAACTCTGAACATAACTTCATTTATGCTAATAACTGTTCAGTTTACCTAAGCCGTTTAAGTGCCATTGAGTAGGTACGAGTATTTCTTTCTCAATCTTTAGATAAAAATCCATAAAATTGTATACGTTTCCCTGTATTAGGTAGTGCTCCAAAATCACCCCCTACCCTTTTTTTCCTACAATGTGTACCTAAAAGAAATCTAAAGCATCGGGTGCTTTACATTTGTCTCTGTGCACAGCTCATCTCTTTGCAGCATGTTCAATTAAGCATGGGTGTAAATGCCTTTGAAGCCTGTAAATTAATAGAAACTTGATTTTATGGCCTGAACGCATAATTGGTTCGTCGTATCTTCTCTCCTTAAAAAAAATTAAAATTAAAGCAGCAAATCATATTCATTTTTTATCGGGGCTTTTTAATGATTATCTCAAGGCATTCAGTTCCATCAATGGAGCATATATAATTAGCACAGATCTATAAATTCATGTCCGAATTTTGCGTTGATTGCTATTTTTCTAACGTATGCAAAAATCGTCAATTATCGACTCTATCTTTGACTGATTTTACATTTTACTGTTCAATTTTGTCTCCTTCGCTGTGAATTATCGTCGATTTAGTTTTGTAAATCATTTTTGCTCTTTGCTTTAATTTTTGAAAGCTATGTCACCAAAATAATATCATGAGATATTAGTAGGTATTTCTTGAATAAAAATTAGCTCTGAAGAGATGGTGCATTTATATTTTAATTTTTTTATTCGTAATCCTCTAAGATTATAGTCTATAAGCATAGGTAAATGTTTTTTTAAAAACAAGTCTCATTTAAGTGAAAATCAGAAAAACTGGAACGGCAACTGAAATCTTATGCATCAAACTGCAAGAAAAATTTTACAGTTTTTAAACAATTATGAGCTCTTTTACTATTTTTCAGCAAGCCTTTTTGAGGTTAGCGTTTACGTATGTTTATCGATTTGCCGTAGAGCCTGAAAGTTAAATTTACCTTCTTTGCACCTTTGCATCGAATGAAAACTCTAGTATTTCCAATGAGGCTGGCTCTTTCGGACAGCAAGAAAATCATCCATTTTTCTGCTCTCCATAAATTAGGTCCAAAAATTACAGGTTTGAGCTTCTCTTTTTGTCATACTTATCGGCCGTCCCAAAAACTGAGCGCTCAAAGATTACATCTAGTAAGCTCATTACTTCAAAATCTACATCTTCTATTCAACTGAACAGGTGCTAATGCGTGCGTAGATAAATAATCTCTTGAATTTAATAAAAGCAGCTTTGTTCCAATGAAAACTTTATCTAATTTAAAGTTATCTGTTAGATTTTGAAATTTAAACTCATCCTCAATGCCTGAAAATGCGTTATATCTGTCTCATACAATTTTTGGGGCCCTTTAAAAAACAGCCTTTCAAGCATTTGGTGTTCTCAATTTACTGTGATATTAAATGGATAATTCTACTGATGCATCAGGTAGATGAAAATTATTTATCTTTTATGTATTTTTAGTAGCCTGTTTTCAATTTTGTACGTCTACAATTTAGCCTTACCATAGTGAATCTAAAGATATTTATTTAATTTTTAACGTATTTTACAAATTTATTTCGAAGTAATTTTTATAAAACTTTCGTTGTTTTTTTTATCAGAATTATTGATTGTGTTAAAACACTGACTAGCAAATTGACGCCCCTGTAAATTGTGTGTTTTCTCCCCAAAGGAGTAATGAATATGTTCAAGTCAAACAATCGAGCGAGCTGTTCAAAAAAGACGGTGCCTTTCATTCAGCCAATGCAAACACATTAAAAATCCTGGGTTTATGTGTTTCATTTTCCCTCTCAAATGGACAACAAAAGTCGGCATTTTTGAGAGGGATGTAAAAAGGATCTAATGGTGAGAGGAAATACCGGCACAAGTTTGGGACTGATCACTAATAACATCATTAAAAAAAAAAAAAAATACGTATAACTGGGAAATGTTTTTCTCATATATCATGACTTAATTTTTCCTCCTCCTTGTTTTTAGTATGTATGCTTCAGCCTTTGCCATTAGACCTTTTTCTTTATTTACTTAGAAAGGAAATTTGGAAATAAAAATTACTTGAGGAGTTTTATTTGGAAAACCCGAGAGTGAATGGCTTCTTCTAAAAATTACAGACAGGGAAAGATCAGTTTTTCTGCTCCAATATGTGTGAATGGTGTGTGTATGTGTAAGGCGCACGGATATGGGGTGTGTGAGGGTGTGTGTGAATTTTAATGGCACATAATTTCGCGATCTACGATCCTTGATAGATGCTCTTAGCGAGGTCACAGGTCCGGGTCCTGACACCATGGGAGAATGCAATAGGTAGTGTATTATCTTTGGGGAAAAAACTAAAAAATTGAACAAGTAATGATTCTCTGCTTATCTGTGTCTCTGATTTATCTGATACCGCGCTAACGGTCTTATGTTTAATTAGGTTAAGTTCTTGAAGTTTTCAAAGTATGAGAAAATACCCTCACGGGAAAACAATTGTCACCACAACTAGCGGTCGGTACAAAATCCGGCACCTGCCATGCGGTAGTTACGATAACAACAATCGTCGTAGGTTACACAAATACTCCGGTAGTTGCAGCAACTAATACAGTAGTTCTTGACTTGTCTGGGTTTATAACAACTTCTATGATAGTAATAATTGTAACCACTGGGTTAGTTGTGTGATCTATTGCAGATATCGTAACTTTCGCAGTGCATTGTAGCTGCCACTTTTTTTACCAGCCGCTGGTTGCAACAATTTGACTGTCTCTTTTTCGTGGCAGTTTTTTATCTCTTTGCTAAGTTTCCTTCAGGTAGAATTTTTTTACAATGACTTGTAGAACAATAGGAATTCTTGAGGAAATCAAGTGAAATAAAATGTGTACCTAAGACCTAGGTAAGCTGAAGTTAAACATGTATAATTTTGTATAATAAACTTTGTAAATTTCGATGTTACCAATTACCATTATTGTTGTATAAATTTTTTCATTACTCTAATTTTTATCATTATCTTTACCTACTTTATGGAAATATTACCTATTTTTATTATCTTTCAATCGCAAAATCTATTTGACAAGAATGAAACTATCAATGGAACAAGTGTTACTAAATATATTACCATAAAAAAGCTTTATTGACTTCATATTACTATCGACCTCAATCCTCCTGACTATTTTTCGCCGAGCCGTCACTTCAAGGCATTTCAATCGAGTTTGGTTTAGTTTATCAATTGGCTCAGAACGATTCCTTGATAATAGAAAGTACCGCAGTTACCGAAAACACCGAACACACGGAAATTACCGAATATCCCTAAATTGCTGAAACAATCAAAACTCATTGGTGTGAATAAAAAATATAATACCAAAAGAAAATAAAGAATTTATCACCAAAAAAGGGCCCAAGGCAACTAGGTGAATTGACGTACCTAGGACTAGCACCCTCTTCAGAACAAGATGAAGAAACGTGCTAAACAAGTAGAAGCCCCCTTTTCCCCACCCGGCTGCAGCCGCACAGTGGATCGAGTCAATGGGAAAGGTCGGACAAAAGTTGGAAACTTTAAAAGCTCATAACTCCGTTCATACAAGACTTTGACGTTTAAAAAGCGGTTCTGTTGATTTCTTCGTGAAATTTCTTTCTTGATGCACCCCTTAAAATTTAAAATGTGACAAAATTAATAGTTTGGTAAAAAATTTCATGTCCGACCTCTCCAATTGACTCGATCCACTGTGAGCCGCCTTAACGTATATAACTGTTCACCTAAATTCAATCCTGCTTCAAAACCCTGCCGGTTAACATCACTGAATAATCATCTTAATATAAGTTAGAGTCCACTGATTCCCTAATATACCTAGTTCACTTAGCCTCGACCAGCTAAAACTTCTAGGCAGATATGCCGCAATACCTTGCGTTCGATTACCGAGACGAGATAGCCAGAACAGAAGAGGCTCACAAATTGCATACGTGCTTAAGTGAAGGCGCATCATACCTTGTAGGTACTCAAGGTACTCAAAAGTTATCCTATTTTTGATATTTTTACGAAGTTTTATGTTTGTGTTGTCAACTGGAAGGAAGTCAGGAAGTTTTTTTACTCTCTTAAAAAATCGTGTTTGGATGTGTATTTCTCGTCTGTCACCCGCGACACGCTCAATTTCTCTACTGCAATATTTAACGCCAGAAAAGTTCAGGAAAGTATCCTGCCGTGCTAAGGAAGAACTTAGAACGCCGTATGAACATTCAAGAATCGCCAAATTTCCCTTGATAAAGCGTGTATTTTTGATGCAACTTAAACATATTTTTCCTTGAAATTTTCAGATATTTTAGATGAAATTGCGTAAAATATTGTCTGAAAATTTTGGGGGGGGGGAGATATTTTCAATTTTCCTTGCAAAATCGGTTTTTATCGAAAGAAATTCGGCAACATCTGACGGCGTTCCTCCTTAGCGCGGCAGTATCCTTCACCGGTTTGGAATCGGTTCTTAAAAAAGAAAGGCAAATTAATGTACGAACTATTTTCCGATATCCCATTTTCCCTTTTTCCTCCTTGTATATCAATTTCAAAAATCAGCCCGAAGCTATGAAATAACATTGATTCCGGGTATCATCCCGTCGAAAACTCGAGGCTTGGATACCAATTACTCGCTCACTGAAGAGACTATACCTAAAAATAATCATAATGAGAGCTCTTCATCATTTTGAGGCCCTCGCTATCAGGATTGTCGTTCTCTTAATTATTTAATCGTTCCAGAGTGGAATTATTACCACTGTCCTTTGAAAACAGTTCGTTTTTCGAACAATGTGTGACAATTAAGGTAATTTTTGAGTGGTTCCATCTGAATAATTGTTTATCCGTCTCGTTTAGTTAAATACAAGGTTGCCCTAAGCTCAGTTCCTGTGAGCGCGAGAAGTCGCGATTTTATCTGTAAATTCAGTCCGGGGGCATACCCAGCAAATCAAAATACGCCCCCTGAACAGATTCCTTAACATACACGGAAAAAGCAACATATCGCCAAACCCTAATACTTTTTTTAAAAAAAATGGCACCGAATACAGACAGTAGACGTAGGAGGACGTAGGGGACGCCCAGTGAGAGGTTGGCGACAGGGGGTGTTAAATGAGATAAGAGATTGTCAACTCCCTGATGACCTGTGGGAAGACCGAGCTTTGTGGCGATTAGGCGTCGCACAGCGCCAAAGAGCGCTATAAAAGCGACTCATATATATATACAGACAGTAGAGCTGAGCCACACAGCCTGTCGAGATATACATAGATACTGCCTTGCTAAGGAAAAACGCTGTATGAACATTCGACAGTTGCCAAATTTCGTTCGATAAAATGTTTATTTTTGAGGAAAGCTACAAATATTTGTCCTTTAAATTTTCGGGTAGGTAATTTAGGTGATATTGCGAACAAATTTATCGGAAAAATTGGAAGAGCTATTTACAAATTTTCCCGAGAATTCGTGATTAACCAAAGAAAATTTGACAACGCCTGATGGCTCATACGCTCATACGGCGTTCTACCTTAGCACGGCAGTATAGACCCTATAAAGCTGTAGAGCTCAGCACTACTACTGCCTGTAGTTGGCGCTATTTTACCCGAAATGTTAGGATTGTTAGGGCTCAGCGCGAAGGTGTTTTTCCTTATAATACGAGACACATCGACGGTGAAACTTCCAAACAAAATATCTCGGTTTGAGACGTTGCAGACTACCTGCCATTTTTTTTTTTTTTTTTTTTTTTTTTTTTTTTTTTTTTTTTTTTTTTTTTTTTAGACGGGTTACGACTCAACGTCAATTCTCAAGAAAACCACCGTGATTTTTCTTCTTCAAGAACAAAAAATTCCATAAAAACTTCAAGGAGTAGTGGCGATTGTTATCTTTCAGAAGGTAAAATGGGAGCGAAGATTTCAAAACATCGCTAACGAGATATTATGTGGTTTGGAAGTTTCACCTTTGACATATATGAAACAATTTTTTTTCAATGTCTTTAGGATAAGAAGTCGATGCTGAACGCCCCGCCCCTTACGTGCAAAATCTGCCTAATTCAAGATCAATGGCGACCAAAATTGAGGTTTTAGGATTGGAAAAAAATTTATTTCGAAACACATCGTGTCGAGTATAGATTTCCGTGTATTTTTTTTCTCGGTATGCGTGATGAACACATGTTTGATCTCTTTGTCTCATCACGAGGGATACAAACAAAGGCAATAACGTTTAGGGAGTTCGATACATTTAGGCGTGCAGTGAGTGTTTTCAAAATAGATCCATGGCAATTCTCAAGTCAGATCACCATCAGATTAACAGGTCCACGCATCTCGCATGGAAAAGTTTTAGGTCCTCCCTTACTTTTTAGAAATACTCCCAATTTTAAGACCACATCCAGTTTTCTGGAAAGGTACGTACAATCGCACATCACTAATCAACTAGAGAACACAAATAGTAGTTTAGTGGGGGAAAAAAACAACGAAAAAAAACGATAAACCCACATCTTATGCTTTACTTCACTATTAACAAATCTACCTGAGAGGAAATAAGGGGGGTCGGATGCCCTTTGAAAACTTCACATTTGAAAAATGGTGCTGGCAGTTTGGCAGTGGAGCGCGAATAGTTTCACTTAAGCCCGGAAATGAACATGCATTGAATCCTCCTCTTACTCCGTGTTTCTCATTCCGTTGAGTTCGCCTTCAATTATTGTAATGGCAATTTGAGCGGCTTGGGAGCTTGAAAAATGGCGTTACTCACAATTAAAAAAAACATCAATCTGCGACGCGATGGTCGAATTTGAGAAGTATCCGTCCTTCATCACAGTCACTCATCATTTCCGTTTTCTGACCGTTAGAATGTTGCAACACATATTTCTGGCGATTTGAATTACGAATGATCTTGACCAAATACCTGTATGATCAACCATTTCGATCCTATCCCTATATGCAGGCCCGCCACAAGGGGGGGGGGGGGTACTGGGTCCCTTGTACCGGGGCCCGGGCTCCGGAGGTGGCCCGTGTTACCCGTGAAAAACCACTACGAATTCCCATGCAACCCTTGTTTCGTAAGAAAAAAGTGAAAAATTTACCCTATAAACTTCGCAAAAGGTGAATAGATTTTCAGAAACACGATGAGGCACTGTAGCATTCTTCTTAAATTTTCAAAGAAGTATACTTCTTGGAAAATTTCTATCTAATTTCAAGATTTTCAGTACACAGGGATATTTTTAGTAACTGCGTTTCATTTTCTTCCGTCGTCGGATACTAGGGGTCTCCAGTCTGGGCATCCTCGACTTCAATGGCTCATGGCTCAATTCCCTTGCCATAGACATACGAAGGGGGAGTCCAGGGGGGCCTGGCTCTCAAAGAACTGAAAATAGTATCATATGCCCCCCCCCCCAAAAAAATGAAAATTTTCCAGATGTTTCGAATGCAACAATTCGCAGGTATTTTGTGCTGAAAGTAGAAAAAAAAAAAACATAATTATTCCGCAGAAATTGATGGAAAAATTATTTACGGAAGCTTCAAAATGCGTCCGATTAGTCGTATAAATTCTAAAATTTCTCGGGGGATGCCCCTCGGACCCCCCTTCCCTCCGTGCTTGGGGCCCGGACCTTAAAACTGGTACCAGGGGCCCGAGATGGGATGTGGCGGGCCTGCCTATAAGGCTGACTTCTCACTATGCACCCACAGCTAAGTATGGTGATTTCAAGATAATTTTTGATTTGAAATTCGGATTATATGATCGAAATTACACGGGAATCGACACCAGGCACAAAGCATATCGAAACCGCAAATTTTTATAAGCCTAAACTGCAATTTCTGCCGCCATCTTGGATTAGGGAGAGTTCGCGTAAAATTTGGGTCGTCCATCATGCGGACTCTTTTTTCTAGGCATCGAAACGAAGAGATTGATTCATACCTCGTATTGTCATTAACGAACCTGCACATGGGTTCACGTACGCTCCTAGACTATTAATTCTCTCTTCGCTAACACCACAGCATTGGATATCGCTACAAAGAGAGTATGGCTTGAGTATCTGTCTACGGGAGAGTATTGCCATCTTTGTGGCGCTCTCTGATTAGTTTATCAGTTTCAGGTTATCATGGAGCTCCAAAGTTGGCCCAATGTAAACAAACCCGACCCAGAGGAATACGTATTATCGGCTGAGAAATTAATGATAATCACACTCAAAGCTTTATTTCCGGCAAAAATATTCATCAAAGTTCGATCCGAACTCCATTTAGGAGTTCGATATAAAAAAATTACTGTCACACCCAAAATCACGTCTAGAACTTTGTAGAACTTTTCCGTCATCTTGTTCGTTTACATTGGGCCATACTGTAGGAGCGGAGGGGCCGGGGTTTGTTTACATTGGGCCAACTTTGGGGCTCCATGATAACCGACCAATCAGAGAGCGGCACACTTTCTCTGTAGTAAAAGGATTGAGATAGCAATGCTCTCCCGTATACAGATACCCTAAGTATGGCCACTGGATGTCAACTGTCCTGGAGACCCTTAGGATCCCCCAAAAAAATGAAGGGGAATTTGGTGGAGATGGGAGTATACAGGGCCGGATTTTACTACTTGCCGCCCATGGGCCGCCAGTATTTTACCGCCGCCCTCTCATTCTTTTTGAAACATCAATAAAAACCATCAAGTGAACGTGCCATCGGGGCATAAGACGTGCATCTTGTGCATAAGACGCGTTTACTCGTGTTGAACACATTTTTTGGGAAAGCCCTGTCAACACTACTAGCAAAAGGTCACGGAACTTTGCGCGAAAGTCAAGTTTCGTAAGCCTATCACTAATGGACGAGACCTTCCATTCATAAGAAAAGAACGAAAAAATTATGAAAGAACAAACACAAGATTCGGTTTAATGATTTTAACTTCCGCCGCCGCCGCGCCGCACCGACCGACGTGTTTGGCGCAATGCGTGAAGTATTCACGCAGTCTTGTAGGCGCTCTGCGTTCCACGCTGATCGCACTGTGTTTGGCGCAATGCGTGAAGTATTCATGCATTCTTGTAGGCGCTATCTCTTTCACGCTGACCACAATAACCGCACTGTGTTTGATGCGATGCGTGAAGTATTCGTGCAGTCTTGTAGGCGTTGATATTTGTTACATGCCGATTGCCGCGCCGAGGGCTTCTCATTTACATCTCAAGTCATCGTCATCATTTCTCCTTATGTCGCGCCGTTCCAGGCCAAATTGTGTGTTTGGTTTCTCTCTTAACTCAACTAATTAAAGGTGCTGTTTCTTGTATCACTGAAAGACGATAAAATTAGAAATTACTATACTATCAGGAAATGAGAGATTTTGTGGCCTTTTCTCGTTTGTAATTTTTTTTTCTAAATCCGATTTTTTTATACCTACATTTAAAGAAATTGCAAAATTTGCCGCCCCCTAGATTTGCCGCCATGGGACGCGGCCCATGTGGCCACCCCCTTAATCCGGCCCTGGGAGTATATGAGAAGGAACTGTTCTGTTACCAATCAATGATGCTTATTACCTGCTCTACCTATTGCCAACGTTGCCATAGCAGAGGTTCAAGTTAAAAATATTTTTCTGACTGTAATACACAAAATTGGTTTCAAACCCGTGTTGAAACGTCGAATCATGTAATTAGCGTACATTTTCAGATGATGCAAATGAATAAAACCTAATTGATTGCACGTTTGAATCGTCCACACTGCAAGAAACCTTTGCCATTTTATTTCTATGTCAAATGGCCATGACGCCGGAGATGACTGAGCCAATCAGAAGTACATCTTACAATGGTCATAAGCTACTGTCACACCAAATAAGTTTACGCACTTTTAGACTGCGATAGACAAGGCGCGAGTAAGTAATGGTAATGGTGGTTGCAAGTTGTATTCTCTTGAAGTCAGACGGCATCGGGCACATTCCGGGTGCATCCTGATTGCATTCCAAATCATGTACCTGCCCTCTGCGCCTCACAACCTTTAAAATGGCGGCTCAACTCGAAGTGCGACCACCTCTCTTCATCCATCAGGTGCGACAGAAAATCTTGACACGTAAAAGTGACGTTCGACGACATTTTGCCGCAGTATAAAAGTGCGTTAACTTATTTAGCGTGAAATCTACCGGTCCCTAGAGTACCTATATTAAGAGAGTATGGCCACTGGGTCCCATGGAGAGGCTTAGGACCCAAAAATGGCGGTGCTTTGTTTTGGTTTTTGAGGATGGGAGGGGGGTCATTGCTAACTTTTGACGGTTATCACCAACCGCACTTGCTGCCAACCTTACTACATCTAAGATCATTTTTCTCAAAAATTGCACACGATTAGCCTTAAAAATATGTAAAGATGTCGCAATAGTGCATTTGGGTAAAGTTCTCGTTACGATAAGCAAAGACAACTACATTTTGAATCATTTTGCATTACATTAACTTTATGGCGTCCGCCATTTTTGGGTCCTAAGGGCTCCATTCAGCCTAAGATGGCTGAGCCAATCAGAGGTGGTAACTCCAGTGGCCATACTCTCTCAATATAGGTACTCTACCGGTCCCGACTTCACAGTTTTAAAGTTTGCGCATGCGCAGAGACTGAACAGTCGGCGGTAGGCCACTACCGACTGTCCATTCAGCCCGCGAAATGCGAATGTCGTAGCGCGAATTTGATTGGACAGTCGGACTGTTATACTCTCCCTATCATCAAGGCACTCTAACCGCCTGTTTGCCCCGCGGATGCCATGCCGATGCCGCGGCCGTGCGTTGCCGTATGCCGTACCCGACTGCGCTGGCTGCGGTGTGGTGTGGTGAAGTGTGTCAAGTAATTCCTCGAACACACTGACGTAATTCCCCCCACCCCGACCCGCCCTCCCACCTCTGCAAGTCTTAAAGATTGGTCATCCCATCCGCGACAACTCTCGCTCTCTAGAATCAGCTGGAAGCAGTGAGCCGCGAACCCGTGGCAGTTCATCGCTTGTTTTTACGCCGGAAACAACACATAGTGCGCTTAACCTGTCATCCGTGAGTGTGAGTCAGAGCGGTGGCATTCTCGCCCACCATTAAACCCTGCGGAATTTTTTAGTGGTTCAGTGCGAGTTCGAGCCAGCCGTTATTCGGTCGAGCAGAATCGTTCGTGGTGTTTTGGTGGATGGTGCAGTGCGATCGGGTGAACTATTTCATCCGTGTGGGCTGAACGATTTGCTGCGGTGTTTTGGGAATGCTACCGACTGAAAGGTACGGAAATGTGATTCTATCACGTACATTATCAATTTATTCTGAAGTGCAGGGTTGCGAGGAAATGCAGCAGGGCAATAATTCTGACAGAATTTTTCATGAAACCATGTCTTCTCCCCCAAAGAGTTTTAAATCCTGACTCTACTGCGTAGCTGATAATAATATTACCTATAAGGTTCGTGACGCTCGGAAAAGTCCTTGAATATCGATGAGACCGTTTATAAAATGCGTAACGGTGGGTCCTCTGCGCCATACCAGTGCAGTTGGACCGCGGTATTTTTTTGCACGCGCAGGCAACGTCGCTAATTGTAAGACCTTTGTCTGGTTCTCGCTACGCTGGACAAGGTAGGGCGACGACGCGACGCAACTGTGTAACTTCCAAAACACCTAACTCGTTTGCGGTGTTGTAAACTCTCCCCTCTCACTTTATTGCTTTGACGAAACGCTAATCGCCATCATTCCTAGACGTCTTCACAAAAGTTTTTCCGGACAGATTCCAAGAATTCTCGTTGAGTAGCTTTCCATTTAAAAAATATAGTATGATTGGAAATCTGCAACGTCGTGAACCATGTATCTCGGAAAATTCATTTTTTTTTCAGGAGAACCAGGAAACTGGCTTACACTCTTCATCCCTGAAGTTAGAGGGAAATAAGTCTTAGAGATAGCAAAGATATGATGCTTTTTAAGGCCCTGTAAGCATTTGAAATAGCCACAGCTCAAAATTGCTCCCAAAACCACTCAGCTTCTTTCAATTTTCCTGGGGTGCCCCCCGTCCCCCTTAAAGTTGGGAAAATCCCTAGTATCCTTGTTTGAAGCTGGGGGAATCCTGCGGATCCCGCTTGATGGGGGGATTTTTATAGTGCTCCCCTTGGACCTCACTTAAAGTTCCTGGTTCCATCCAAGTATAGATGGTCAAATTTGTAGAGTGATGGAAGGGGGTTGAGGGGTAGTTTGATGAAAAATTGTCGAAAAAATGCCTTATTTTTGGATATCCTATTCATATCTCTATGATGCTCCTCCGTTCTTAAAATTTACCCTGACTCTACCTAAGAAGCATTTTCAATGGAAAAGTCGTGGTATAATTAAATTCTGAGTTACGATTTTTTTTCCAAATTATCGGCGATAAAATCCCTAGGATCATCAACGTATAAGCGATTATTCTGGATCCTCTCGCGATGAACGCACCTTTTGTGCTATTTGCAGATAAACTCGACCCACGTGTATATTTTATACAATGAAAAATCGGTATTTTGGAGTTTTTTAGCCAACGAGCGTAAAATTCAGCATAAAGCTGATATCTCACTACAGAGCTTGAGCACTACTTATCTCCAAACTATACTAAGTAGTCCAACTACGTACCCAAACTACGTATCTCGTTTAAGGGGTTTAAAAATCGCCGCTTCTGTTTTATTCTTTTAAAGGAGAAAAAATCAACCCACCTTGACGTTTTCTCGGAATCAGCTTCGCACGGAGAGAAAAATTTACAGAACTTTTTAAGAATGGTCGTTGAGTGCCTAGCTGTCCATTTAAAAGCCAAGTATAAGGAAGTCTGCATACAACGTCGCAAACCGAGATAAGTGGTTTGGTAGTTTCCCCGTCGATATACCCTTTGAAGGTATAGGCGGATTCANGGGGGGGGGGGGGGGGAGCGGGAGTAAGAGCGTAAGTTCCTCCCCCTCCCCCGTTCACTCGAAGAAAAAGAAGGAAGAAAGAAAGTAGGAAAATAGAAAAGAGGATGGAAATGTAAGCCACATTTGATAATTATTCATGACGAAATTGACTCAAACTGCGAATGAGGGGCTTGAAGGACAAAGCGCACTCGTGCAATTTTTGAAAAATTGAGGTATTAATCATTTCAAGTAAAACTAGGTTTAATGCATATTCTGTGCAAAATTCGCTCCCCAATTTCAATTTTTAAGCATCACAAAGTCAGTTTGAACTTTCTTTCCGCCAAAAAGCTCCATATAATTCGAAACTTCAAACACGCACTTCTCGAAATAGCAGAAACTGCACTTATGCGTCTTGTCTTCCAAGCCCCTCATAGGTATCAGATGCTCCAAAAATTCAACCTTCGTTCGAGGTGTCTAGATCCGCCTATGTCTGAAGGGCTACGCAGGGCACTAATAGGAGTTCCTCCTACTTTTTGTCGCAGGTTCTATCAGCGGCGGCACAACCACGAGGAACCCAAGCATCAGGCAATGTTTCACCTGGAGTCGTAGTTCCCGTCCGAAATGAGCGTCCAGAACCTGAAAGCGCAGTTCAGCAAGGGAGCAGGAGCCCCGCTGGCCTCCCCCGGGACGAGCTTCCTGAACCAGCACCGCGCTCAGCTCCGGAGCACTCTGCCACCGTCGCACAACAACGCCAACCTCAAATTCCCGTCGTCGAACAGGGCACCCAGCACCACCGTCAACCACATCGAGAACCACGTCCCCAACGGAGCCGGGGCGGGAGGGGGAGGGGCAGGGAGCCCGACGAAAACGCAGATCCCAGTCTCGAGGTTCACGACGCGACTCTCGAGCGACCATCTGCTCAACGGCAACGCCACCCCGATCTCGGCCGCCGCGTCTGGCCCTCCGTCATCGCTCAAGCTTCGACCCAGTCCCGAGCGACCTCCCACGGATCCCCCCGAGAAATGCTCTGCCACCGACGAGGGGGCCCATACGAGAAGGAAATTCCTACCTACGGAAAATCACAGATGTAAGTGCAACCTCTTCAATTGTCTATAACCTTTCAGCAGGGCCGTAGCGAGGGTTACAGGGATAGCGTTCATGAATTGGATTACATTTTGCAATAAGGAACCACTATGTCTAGCTCATTTTAGAAACAACATATGTACCATTGGTTTCCCGATGCAGATATGCATTTTTATGGAAGAGCCATAGATAGTGGTTTCTTATTGCAAAATTTAATCCAATTATGTGACGCTCTAGTGGGGGGTGGGGGAGGGGGGAGGGGTATGAGCCTGTGTTGCGCTGCGTTTTCGCTTCTCTCTGTTTAAACTGCTCCTTTCTCATGTTTTCATGTCCGGTACGGTCAAATTTTTATCGGGTTTCCCGAAAATTTTCTTCTGCTAAAGCAGCTTTTCCTCCCCGATAGAAGTCTCGAATTCGTCTTAATCGTAGTTCTTTCACATTCCGATGGGCCGTCCCTAATAAATTACGTAACGCTCTAGGGGAGGGGGTCGAGGAGAGCGTTACGCTATTTTGTTTTTACGTGTTAAAAGATAGGGACCTACGTCGCAAAAGCGTTACCTGTGCGGAGGGGTGGGGTGGTGGTCAAAAATGGCGAAAAAGTGCGTTACGTAATTTAGGGACGGCCGACAGTGGATCGAGTCAGTTAGTAAGGTCGGACATGAAATTTGCGACTAATACTGCAAATGATGTTTATTTCGTCACATTTTAAAGTTCAAGGGCTGCTCATAGGAGAAAATTTTACGAGGAAACCAGTGGAACCACTTTTAGAACCTCAAAGTTTTGTATAAACGGAGTTATAAGTTTCCAAATTTTGTCCGACCTCTCCTACTGATTCGGTCCACTGTGCAGCCCCCTGTGGCGGTGTCTAGGGCTCTAACAATGAGCAATTTTCGACCTAAGCGGGCTTTAGACTTAACCGCGTATTTCGACCGAGTAAGAATTCACTGTATTTTTTCACGAGTTTGGAGCGGCAACATAGTTTGCTTGGCTTTTAAATCGCTCCGATTGTAATCTCAAGTACACAGAGCTGGCGGATTGCACACGAAGATCGTCGATGCTCGTGTGAGGGTTACACCGATAATTTTGCCATTGACGAAGCACAAAGCTCCCGTCAAACTCGAGCCGTGACCCGCGCGGCCGGAAGTTGAGCTTTTCTTTCTTCGCGGGCCATTATCCGCGTCCAGCTCAGCACCGCCGCGCCGCACAACTCCGAAAGCTCCTACAGAGATACTATCAATCGCCTCGATAGTCGACCGTGAATTGGTACCACCAGATGGCGCTCCTTTTTCCAAAGGAGACTAGACACCAGAGGCAGCCTCCGAGTAAAGGTGCCCATGCCCATATACATCCTCATGGCTTTTTTTCTATCCACAAAACGCGATGGATCGGGTTTTTTGTGTTTCGAAGCGTTTCGGCTGGGATTTGGATATGTTCGAGATAAAATGCGAGGTGTACTTGACTATTCCTTAAAACTTCATGTTTTAGGACTCGACGATCAACGGTAGGCAAATGGAACAATTTTGAGATTTTTTCGAGGATTATTTGGTGGAGTCAAATACGTTTGCACACGGCCAAATTTCGCGCGTGAGAATAAAGCCTCAAAATGCATCCAAGAGAGGCTCTACGAAAATTTCCAGGGAGAGCCACCGTAATTTTATCTTCTACGTGCTGACTGGGATGTCATGCTGTTTCTCTATAGACACGACTCTTGTCGTTACTTTTTCCCTGAGGGCATAATGCTCGTATTTGATACGCATCGTCGACAACTTTAACAGTACGCTTTAATGTTTAAAGGTTTAAGTATTAAAAAATCGAATAATTGTACGTGTAAAAGAATCTGAGGAATCTGATACCTAAATTGAGGAAACTGAATTGCGATCAAAAAGGCGCTTGATATCATTTTCCCGTATCAGGATACGAAATTCGGCAGTTATTCCCGAAAGTGATGTAGGTTCCTCCTGTTATAGTTCTCGTCGCTTGAGTTGCTAAAACGTGGCGCGTTTGGTAACTGTCTTGTCCCTAAGTTTAATTTCTGACACAGATCAAAGTTTTCCAAGTGAAAAATTGAATTTTTGCGCGGAGAAGTGATAGTTAAGGCTGCCGTAAAAAATATTAATACTTATGTTTCAAGAAAACAAGATAAGGAAGCTCATTGTTGGTCTTATTCCAATATTTATCCGGCCGAACTTGCGCAAACACGAGTGATCCGCGATTGAGGGTGAATTTTCACACGGTGGCGTTCAAGTACCTGACATTGACCAGGCCCCGGAGACGTGCGGAATATAAGTTTGCCAACGCGGTGACTCACTCACTGATCGGGCACTGACTGGAGAGCGTGAGTCATGAGTCACCACGCCGAGCTCACGTATCGTTGATCAGTAAGTCCTAAAACATGAAGTTTTGAGGAAGAGTCAAGAAAATCTTGCATTTTATCTCGGGCGAATCAGCGCAAACGTTTCTTTCTGTATGCGGGGTCTTCAGAATCCTAATAAGACAGGAGAAAAAGTTTACCAAAAAATTCCATCCGCCGTGCATGGAAAATGGTCAAATAGCATGTTTTCAAAACGACAGCTGAAACCGAGGGCGAATTTCAAAAAAGGGCTCCGAACTGTTTTTTCTTTACAACTCCAAAATTTATGCGTGTGCTACAAAAAAACTCAGGAGAGATTTATAACCATTTTATATAAATCATGACATTTCTTATGAAGAATCATAATCCAGCTGTGAGCTTTCATTATTTTGTTTTTCCCACCTGAATGATACTTGTACGGAGAACAACAATCGGTATAACCTGATGACAACCAACGAATTTTTGTGGTTTTTTACCAATTTTAGCCGCAAGTCTTTAGTTTAAGGCTCGTTAGGAAGTTATGGTTCAGGGGTTTAGAATTTGGTCGAGGCAAACTGAAACGGCCTTAAAGTGGTCTCCTCCCGTTTGGTTAAAATCTCGAGTTTATGTACGTCCCGAGAGTGTGCCATTTCACGATGATACATAACTATTCGACCACGTGAGAGCTTGTGTTGCCTATGCTAAAATTGAAGGCGTACTGGCATTTCGTTAATGGAAACTTTCCTCGTTTGGTAATTAAAAGCTAGTTTTTGTTCTTGTTCCGAGTACGCGTGCAATTTTACGATGATGCCATACGACCCCCACTTATTTCTCATTTCTTTCTCTTCTCTTCTCTTCTCCTCCTTTCTTAATTCTGCCATTTTTAATTTTCATTATCTCCTTCCTTAGTCTTCATTCTTTTTCCTTATTTTTTCTCTTTTCCTCATCGTAGTTTTCTTTTTCTATCTTTTTCTTCTTTTTTATATTTCTTTTCTTTTTATGCATTAATTTTAAATTCTAGACTAAAGTTTTACATTTAAGTTTAAATAGAAACCACGTACTTACCTCGAAAAACCCCGAGGAGGGCGAGAAAAACTGTCTACATTCCTCATCTTTGAAGATAGAAGGGAAATAATTCTTGAAGATGGCATGGATAAGATGCTTCATAAGAATATATCAGCATTTTGAATGCCTGATGTTCCCGTCTGCCAGGAGAAATTACCGAAAACCCGAGACACGTGTGCTTGGAACTAAAATCTCAAACAAATTCCAGATACCTGGTTTGATTTGAGAATCACTGTTTCAAAAGTATTTTTGACCGATTATGACTGAATGAAGATTCAAACTAGAGTTTAAGAGGACTGTATACCTACCTTAATTTGCTTCATAGAAGACTCAGTTGGTCCCATAGCTGGATGGAACATCGTACGTTGCGAATAATGTGGATTAATGGATGCCATAAAAAAACTCACAATCCATTATTGCACCGGCACGAAACTGAATGGATGAAAAAGAGACAGGCACCTCCAAAAGTATTATCATTGTCAAAATCTTCTTCCGGGAATCTCCCGAGTAATCAGTCGCCTTCAAATTCGCACGCATGCTACATTGAGAGCAAAAGATTATATACCCTTCCCATTCAACCGTTACAGACATGATTCCAGTTACCTTTTTTTAAAGCAAGATTGGCTAACTGAGTTTTGACAGTCGTTAGGCAATATCCATTTTAGGAAATTTGCCCACGCATATCAGTACGTATGAAAAAAAAGACCTATGCTAGTTTGCCTTCCATTTTTTGGACGGAGTTGTGCGGTTGCTCCTCTTATTCTCAGCTATAAAGAGACTGTAGATGGACCAAAATACTTTTCTTTTTTACGATTCTTCTCAAGAGAGCGCGAGTTAAGTCAATACTGCGCGGTGGCACAAGATGTGTGTCATTAGTATCATAACCCCGAGATCCGTGTTTTTCGCTCTAGGTATACGTTTTTAGGTAAATTCCTGAGTTTTTTGTCTAAAATATATGGATAGCGGATAAAAGGCATCTTCTGCACCCCATTTTTCCAGCAAAATCAAAACCACCAAACGTGGTTGCGGACTTTTACGGTCGATTACATTGCGATAACAGGATTATTCAAAAGTCACGCACCACTGGCCATAACTTCAGTTCTAATTATGATATCGATTAGCGGTTTAAGACGTGTTTCCCCATATCGAAGGGGAAACTTTTTTAGGTACTTTCCAGTTTTTTATCCCCTCGGAGGGGGGAGGGCGGGGGGTACCTCAAAAATTTCAAATGACCACCCCCCTCATGGCCAGTGGTACGTGACTTTTGAATAACCCTCTATGTTATCGGAATCGGTAAGATGAATTTTTGCAAAATTATAGGAGCATGATTAATGCAAGCGATTCCAACCTCATGGAACGATGTCTTTATTCTTGTGTATTTTTTTTTCTTCTTCTTCTTTTTCACTTATAATTTGCAAAGTTTCCTCTGTATTTCAGCTAAACCGGATTACGATAGTTTAGAAAAGAAATTCAAACAGTTACAAGAGCAGTACAAATCAACGCAAAATGAATTGTTGCGAAAGGAGGATCAACTCGCTCAACTCACAAAATGTAAGTATATCTATACCTATTTATGCACAGTTCATTCCTTTTTTTCTGTTATATATAGTTTAAATTATTTACCTCAAGGTTTAAGTTTGCTCCGTGCTCAAAAAACGTAGCCGGAGCATTTGTCTAGGGGGATCTGGCCTTCTATACTAATCACGAGGTTATTAAGCGGGATATTCCGAGCGACAGCCTTTTTTTAGTGAATCAAATTTTAATGCGTGTAAAAAGTTGCGTATTGATATCAGTTTGAAAAAAAAAACCAAGGATTTATTTTTGAGAAAGTAATAAGAAATGGAGGTTGCAACTTTCGATTTAGAGAAAAATTACTCTCTTAATTGCTCTTTTCCGCATATTTGATCTAATATTCCAGCAAGGCAGATATCCGTCACAGATCTCACTTTTTGAATTCAAACCCCTATTCACAATCAGTTACAGTTCGGGATTTACATTAAAAGTTCATTTGTTTTTCAATTAGGTAGTGTATGAGGGGGAGGGGGATTCCTGAGATTCTCGTTAATTTTTCTGCTCATTTTAGCAGAAACGCAAAAAAAAATGGGCATTGCTGATGAGTTGAGGGGCTTGGAGGATAAAGCGCATAAGTGCAGTTTTTGAAAAAAAATTGATATGTTAATAAGTTCAAATAAAACTCTTAACGCATATTCTGTGAAAAATTCGTTCCCAAATTCTAGTTTTTAAGCATCAAAAAGTCAGTTTGAACTTTCTTTCCGCCATAAGGATCCTTGTGATTTCGAAACTTCAAACACGCATTTCTCGAAATAGCAAAAACCGCACTTATGCGCCTTGTCCTCCAAGCCCCTCAGTTGCACTTCACTTCTACTTATATAATACTACCACTTAAAGTGGCTTCTCATCAAACACATCAAGCGGCCATTCGAACCTAAAATTAAGACAAACATTAAAGAGTTGTAGCGTTAATCGTGAACGAAACCATCGGCACCATTTTTGCTTCGTACCATACTACCCTCCATTTTTTCATCGTGTCCTATATCTGTGAGGTCTGCCGTGATAGCAAAGAGAGCAGTAAGAGCATGCTGGGATGAACCCCAAGACACATAAAATTGATAAAATCAATAAATCATGTGCTAACCCTGGCTCATACAGAAATGCACTTACTGCTCTCCTCGCTATCACGGCAGAAATCTTCCGCAGATTATGCGACTAATGTCTGCACTGCCGTGCTATGGAAGAACGCCGCATGAACATTCGAGAGTTGCCAAATTTCCTCTTAGAAAATATTTATTTTTGAAGGAAGTCATGAATATTTCTCCTTGAAATTTTCAGGAACTTTAGTTGGAATCGAGAACAAAATAATCGGAAAAATTGAAGGAAAAATCTTTACAAATTTTCACAAAAATTGATGATTTACCGAAGGCAATTTGGCAACGCCTGAAGGTTCATACGGCGTTCTTCCTTAGCAGGGCAGTGTAGGTACGAGGGGCGTTCAATAAGTAAGTATCCCCCCCTCTCTAAAATCCATTAAAATGGACCAATTTTAAAAAACTTGGGCTCAAAATCTTTCTTAGGATATTCTGAGTTCAACAAAACAAACCGCAACAAAATCGGACTATGTGCGGCCAAACGCGAGCCGTTTGAACGCGCCGAGGTGCTCGACGCTCCCGCCGAATCTGCGGGGATTTGAAGTCCGCGACAGGAGAAGAGCTTCTCTGCCAAAGCCTCAGTCGTTCATCACTGACAAAAAATCAAAGAAATTTTTGTAGAATAAGGGACTTACCTCACTTCTCCACATAACCAGCTCGATCCAAGCAGGTCTGATACTGAGACTAAGAGAACACGCTTTTGGATGCCACGCGCGTGGAAGTCTTTCATCCCCGGTCAGCTGAAAGACTTCCACGCGCGTGGCATCCAAAAGCGTGTTCTCTTAGTCTCAGTATCAGAGCTGCTTGGATCGAGCTGGTTATGTGGAGAAGTGAGGTAAGTCCCTTATTCTACAAAAATTTCTTTGATTTTTTGTCAGTGATGAACGACTGAGGCTTTGGCAGAGAAGCTCTTCTCCTGTCGCGGACTTCAAATCCCCGCAGATTCGGCGGGAGCGTCGAGCACCTCGGCGCGTTCAAACGGCTCGCGTTTGGCCGCACATAGTCCGATTTTGTTGCGGTTTGTTTTGTTGAACTCAGAATATCCTAAGAAAGATTTTGAGCCCAAGTTTTTTAAAATTGGTCCATTTTAATGGATTTTAGAGAGGGGGGGATACTTACTTATTGAACGCCCCTCGTAAGTGAACGCGGCGATAGCTTGTTGGTTTCTTGATCGATATACCTCGTCGGATCAGACCTCACTAGAACAGGAGAGGAGCCTGATTGAGCTGGCGATGATCGCGATTCTGTTAGAGCAATGCTGTGTTTATATACATACGTTCTCGCTGAAGGCGAGTGCAAGCAAGCGTCAGAACCGCAAACATAGCGTAAACACTGCCCAGAGCAATGACTTACGCGCTCTAACGTCATCGTAGACTACCACAACAATGCCGTGATCCAACTCCGTGATAGGAAGAATGTGCTAGTATATCCATCTCACTACATATCGACTGCGAAACTTCCGGACCACGTATCTCGGTTTGAGACGTTGCAGACTACTTTTCATACTTTATTATTTATGAAGAAAACTACTCAACGTGGGCATGTGAAAACTTCCGAATTTTTTATTCTCTGTGCCGAGAAAACTCCGTGAAAACTTCAAGGAATGATATTTCGACGGTGTAAGTCCGCGAACACGTATCTCGTTTGAGGCGCTTGAAAATCTCCGCTCCTATTTTATTTTTTAAGGAGAACAAATCGACACCATTACTTGAAGTTTCCGCGGGATTTTTTTTTTTTTTTTTTTTTTTTTTTTTTTTTTTTTTGCACAGGGGAGAAAAATCACGGCAGTTTTGGAAAATCCCCGTTGAGAAGTTTTTTATTCAAAAAATAAAGTATGACAGAGAGCCTGAAACGACAAAAACCGAGAAAGTGGTTGCAGACTTACACTGTCGACTTATTTGTATTCTTTTAAAAATAGGAAAAAGATAGGGAGATTTATAAAAACCGCAAACGAGATACGTGGTAGTTTCACCGTCGATTGGACCACACCAGTAACGTTTTAGTTTTGTCGAGCTATCATCAGGCCCACCACAAGGGGGGGGGGGATACTGGGTTCCTGGTACCGGGGCCCGGGCCCCGGAGGGCGCCCGTGTTACCCGTGAAAAACCACTACGAATTCACATGCAACCCTTGTTTCGTAAGAAAAAATGAAAAATTTACCCTAAAAATTTCGCAAATGGTGAATAGATTTTCAAAGACACGCTGGGGCACTGTAGAATTCTTCTTAAATTTTCATAGAAGTATACTTCTTGGAAACTTTCTATCTATTTTCAAGATTTTCAGTATAGAGGGATATATTTTTAGTAACTGCGTTTCAATTTCTTCCGCCGTCAGATGCTGAGAGGCTCCATCCTCGACTTTCATGGCTCATGGCTCAACTCCCTTGCCATAGACAAACGAAGGGGGAGTCCAGGGGGGCCTGGCCCTCACAGAACTGAAAATAGTATCATATGCCCCCCGCCCCCCAAAAAAATAAAAATTTTCCAGATGTTTTGAATGCAACAATTCGCAAGTATTTTTTGCTGAAAGTAGAAAAAAAAAAAACATAATTATTCCGCAGAAATGGATGGAAAAATTCTTTATGGAAGCTTCAAAATGCGTCCAATTAGTCGTGTAAATTCTAAAATTTCTCGGGGGATGCCCCTCGGACCCCCCGCTCCGTGCTTGGGGCCCGGACCTTAAAACTGGTACCAGGGCCCGAGAAAGGGATGTGGCGAGCCTGCATGAAGGCTATTTCCATTTAAATCTTCCGTCACATTCATACGGCGCAATGATACAACTATTTGAACTCTCCGGAATGCGTGAGGTATCACGCCGCGTTTGAAGGCGTTTCCGAAACAGTCAAGTTCCAATATCTGAATAATCGTTTTGCATGGTTCATAGTATTTTGTTTTCATTTTTAACAACTTGTTTTTAATTATAATCCTCCTATAAAAACCACCCAAAATTTGAATTGCCGCATTTGAAGGCGTTTTCAAAATAGACAAGTTCCGATACTCGGATTATCGTTCTGCATAGTCAATTCTAAAATTGTTCAGGTTCCAGGTGGTGATTCCCGATATAACACTCTTGAGTTCTTGATGCCCCGCTTAAAAGCTAAATCCCCGGTTTTACAAGAGTCGGGGTTGGTGTATAAAATTACATGCTTCAATTGCGATGTGTCTTACGTTGGGCAAACTAAACACCTTCTGCGCAAGCGTGTGTCGCAAGAATGACGGTGGAGAGTTGACAGCTCTCAAAAATCATCAAAGAGAGCACGGTCACCAGTTCAATTTTAACCGGGTTGAAATTTTACGTCCACTGGACAAAAAAACACATTGTATCTAGAGTCCAGACTGGAAAAAAAACATCGACAAGAAAAAATACTCTTGATTCAATCGGATTTTTGCTTATCTTACTTGCTTTATCTACTCTCCAAATATGTATTCTCTTGGTGCAAGCTGCAGGGGACGCCAATAGTGAGCCATTTAAATGTATTAATTTTCGATGGATATATCATCAAATCGGATCCGGATACTGTTGTGGAGCAGCAAGTCGCGTCGCGTCAGCCATCGATCATTGAATTTAGTCGGCATAGTAATCCAAGAGTGATTCGCACACCTTCCTCGTTGTCCTGAGGACACCGGACGGGCCGACGTATTAGGAAAGCGGACCAGAAATTTCGTTTCGATGCAGCTTCCTGCAATTAATTTTCCTTCATTTAAGAGGGTAGGCTATATGCGCTCTCAAGAGTTTAAATAGTGGTACCATAATATACGATCTTCTTTATACGTGCTACCCGTGCTTTTTAAAATCATCCTACTACAAGAGGAAACCAGAGGAAAATGAATTACTAAAAATTTACCTGCATTTTTGACCCTTCTTCTTCTTCTCCTTCCTCTTCCTCTTCTCTCCCTTCTTTCTCATTTTACTAAATTTTATTTCCCTTTCCTCACTCTCTTTTTCCTCTCCTTATTTTCGTCTTTCTCTTCTCCTATGCTCCTTTTTTTCTCCTTTCCCGTCTTCAATCTGTTCTTCCTCTTGATCTGTCTATTTATATTCCGCTCCTTATTTTCCTTGAATGTCCCCTCCCACTTCAATTTCCTCTATGCAGATACGTGATTTTATGGTTGAGCCAGGAAGAGTAGAATATAGTTGTAACGTGTAATAGGAGTGTAGAGTAGAAAAAGTAGCGAACAGAAAAGCTAAAATTATGCACTTGCGTATAGAGTACCTTTATAGACAGAGTATGGCCATTCGTATCTTTTTACTACAGGAAAACTGTTCCGCTTTTTGATTGGTCAACGAGTTTTTAGGCTTCATGATGCTCTTAGGGCCGTAAATAAACAAACAAGATGGCGACTCACCGTAACATCGATAAGAAGCTAAATTTGACAAAAATTTCAATTATACGGCAGTAACAGTTTAAACTAGCATATCTACGAATAACACACGAAAAAAACACGAAAACTATTGTTAAACCGCCTCACACCTTTATCACAGGAGGATGTAAGATGTGCATAACCTCAATCTTGCTTGCTGATAACAGCCATCTTCTTTGTTTATTTACGGCCCTAAGAGCATCGTGTCAGCCTATTCGCTCGCGACCAATGAAAAACCGGAACAGAAATGGCCATACTCTGTCTATAAAGGTACCCTACTTGCGTATAATATCCGACGATGATCGCTATCTGGTGGCACAACAGTGAACCACAAGTCGCGTCGAGCTTCCCTCCCCTCCCGCACGACTCATCGAATGCCCACCGCGCGGCACCTGTCGCCGCACTGTCTAGCGCTACCTCAAATCCTTTGTGCCGCGCCGCAATCGCTGAGGAATTTGCTGAAGCGCCAGGGACTGGAGCATTTGATTTCGTTTCCGAGAACTGATGTCTATTATCTGTTTTCTTCACTCCTGATCCAGTGACTACCCACTTCGATGTAGAGGAACCGGTGCATATCCCTCCCCTCGTCCAATTCAGACGTATGATACGTGGTTTCTCACTGAATTTCAACGAGGAATCCAAATCTGAGCTCAGATGTTGGCTGTCATGCGTTATAACATTCCCGGGATATGTAGTATACATTGAGGCGGGTCATAGGTTGGTCCGGCCTCGTACGAAAATGTCCGTTGTGCAGTGCAGCTACTTAAAATTGCAGTATGCTGTTAGGTACCGTATTCGGAAAATGCGTTACTCCGATTGTGACGTTGCAAGTCTCCGATCTGTTTATTTATTTATTTATTTTTTTTTTTTTTTTTTATACATACGTAAGATAACAAACACTTATCTTTGAATGTTCTTGGAATTTTCTTCATCCACGCTAAATATTCATAGAAAATCTCAAAAAAATATTTTGATCAAAAATTACGAATTATACGTGAGACTGACCTAACTCAATGAAAAAAACCGATTAGAGTAGCATGAAATAGTATCGAAATAAATCGGCACCGCTAGAAGAAACGCTATTTCAATAAGTACAAATGCATTCACACGAAGGTGCTTTTTCAAAATGGAAAACAAAACAAAAGAAGACAAAAAATTGAAGAGTTCTGTTTTATTCCTTCCTTCCCACAGCTCAGATAAATTTTTGACGCTTTTCAAGCGAAATCAATTTTCAAACATCCAAATTCCACATTCGTACTGCAAGTTTGCATGTTCTGTCTAATAAGCACTTCTATGAGTTCGCGGTTCAGGTGAATGAACTGAAAACGATTAAGTATAGTTATACAGCCTAAAAATCTAAGCGATAAAATTTGAGCCTTTATTCAACATCTTCGATAACGAAACGCTTTTTCAACTTAAAACAATGCAAAGAGAGCAATGGAAGAATATCCCAGTAGGGTTCAGACCCATAATATCACTATTATAACTCTGCGATGGGCCGGGTTGCCTACACTAAATTTTGCGGGCGAAATTTGAGATCTGTCCACTTGCGATAGGGCACAAGCGCGTTCAGTGTTTTCCTCGAGCGCCGCTGGTGAGGCAGATAGTGACTAAAGTCAAAACGCCTTCAATTACGTTCGTATGCAACGTGGACATCTATGGAGTTCAAATAGTTGCATCTGGGCGTTATAATGAAATTTGTTCAGTATCCAACGCATGCAATACCAATTGAAGCTTTTATTGTTTCTCTTCCATCTTAACTCAATTACAGCGTTGATTATTGGGCCGATGGTTTGACAGTCCACCATTAACAATTACTGATTCTTGCCGCGACATTGTCAATTTTCCGAGATATGCATTACTTAAAAGTATTCCAACGTTTGCCGGCCCTTGAAATCGCAAAATAGCTAAACAAAAATTTTGCTGCGGTAGCTATAGAAAGGTGTGTTACAACAAGAGTGTATTGAAATATATCGGTACCGAACACGCAAAAAACCATTTAGTAATTTAATTTTTCTCTTACTTTTTCATTTGTCGTCTCATTTTTCTTTGTAGTAAATGAATTCAGGGTTTCTTGCAAAGTCCTATTTTTCTGGGGGTGCCGTGTGATACTATTTAAAATTCAAGGGGGGCGGGGTCCTCCTGGCTTCTTAATGGCTGCGCGTCACCGCTCTTAGAACCATTTAAATGAAACGTCCTGTAGATAATGTTTTACAGAGAAAATCACACTGTCAATCATTCAATCGTTCAAAATGTCTGCTAACTAGCATGGTTCCTAAAAATAAGAACAATACATAATTGCCATCGAAAATCATGAAATGTAGCATTTTAACCTTCTTGCTTTTCTTTCAAATTTCAGTGTCTGAAGGTGTATACAAAGAATATGATCAACTTAAACTTCAGTATGACATGGAACTTGGAGCCATGCAAAAAGCAATGGAGAAAGCTCATCAGGTACGTATGAAATTTCTTTTACGTGTAGGGATGTGGCTTTTTCTACCCTTGGGGAAAAAGGTCCTTTGAGTTTTCACTGAAACAGATAGCAGCAACAGACAACAACGCTGCTCTTCAAGGACCACCCGCTTCTCACAATAAGATCGCTCCATTTATCTTCTTTGCCTACGGCTATGTCCATAAATGTCAATAATCAGTCCACAGGTAGGGGAGCGTTCATAAATTACGAGACGCATGCATTTTTTCGACATTTTTTACCCCCCTCATAACGCTTTGTATGGATAACGCTAACCTTGGATCTCCCTTAATAATTACGTAACACAAGGCGGACCTCCTTCCTTAGAAACCCAAAAATTTTGGAGAAAGCTGTTGAATATACGAGTAGGTAAAATTTGAAGTATTTTTGAGTTTGGTAAAACAAATAATGCCAAAGAAATTATGATGATACGTTCGGAACTTGGTGCATTTTTTACCAGTAGAGGGGGTTACATAACGCTGGCACTGACCCCCCTCCCTCTCCCTAGAGCGTTACGTAATTTATGAACGCATCCATGGACTATGACCTATCACCCTTTTGTTATTGTCCAGGTTACTGATTGTGAGAAAAAAAAAAAAAATCCGTACCTCAGGAGCTCAATATAATTCATGTGCGGATCTCCTAAAAGCCTACCATGACAATGTACTGTTGGTCAAGCTCTGGGAAGCTTTGGAATATCAAATAGGTTGATGCAAAATCTCTTACGTCCGTCGGACTTGGAATATTTTAGGGATTGTCTTGGGTATAAAGAGTTCGGTTTGTATAAGATACACATTTGAACATATTTAAAAAGAACAGATTTTTAAGGAGCTTTTTAAACGTCAGGCCTAATATTGATTGAGTTTAAATACCTGTTATACCATTGACATCATAACTCCTTGTTCTATTCTGCGTTTAAGTCTCCACAAAAATTGAATTTTTCCGAATTTGAGGGTTATTCGAGTATTACGTAAGGTATTCCGACCGACTCTGTGCCCCCCCCCCCTCTTGTGAAACACCCTCAAGAAGACCTCTCACCCTCTTACCCTTTATTTGTTTCAGTGGTATAAACAAAATCGTGAGCTCAAACGTAGGAGCACAATTTATTTGGAGAAAGTTATGCAATATGCTCCTGACACTATGGAAACAATAAGTGACGAAACAGATAATAATGATGCAGAAGCTGATGAAATGGCTGAACTCGAAGAAACAATTAAGGGTAAGTATTCAGTTAACTCCTTGCTTGTCAGTTTACCCCTTGCTACATTCATTGCCAGTACACCGAAAAAAAGGTGCTGTAACATCCTTTATGTTAAAACAATTGCGACAACTTTTGTATGTTGTCATTACCACTTTGGCTGTTAAAGTAACATCCTAGGATGATACTTTTACATCCTATGATGCTACCTTAACTGCCAGAGTGTTAATAGCAACATCCAAGAGTTGTCGCACATTTTTTTTAACAACCGTAACATCCGGGATGTTACTACAGCATCTTTTTTTTTTCGGTGTAGGTACCGAAGTTAACTCAATTTTCATCCTTATCAGATACATTTTAAAATAGGTAATATTTCATTTCTGTAATAAATTGTTCTGTTTATGTTTTTACTGTAAGGTGCCCTGGAAGTAATGATATTCATACTGCCTTGTTTCATATTGTAGCTTTTCCAATTCGGCCACAAACTACGGGTACCTAGGTAATTGAGAGTCATTTTACCTAATTTCAGCCCCACGCGACCACCTTTCAGCACACAGTGATTTTTTCTTACGAGCTATTGGAAAAGTTTTGCAATTTTTTAGTACTTTTCATCTGATAAGGTGCTTCCAAAAGTAACTATATTTTTACAATAATATTGGACCAGTGAACAGTATGAGTAGGTTCTTCGTGAATCAGTAAGAGATTCAAAAACGTTTTTCACCTTCAGTAAATAAGAATGTGTTTTTTTGATGCAGGGCTGAGGAAAGACATCGCAAAACTGCAGACTGAATTGAGTGCAGCCAAATTGCAAGAATTTGAAGCTCAAGAGCAACTTACTCAACTATCCATCGACTTGGAAAAAGAACGAGCAGCGCGAATCGAAGCGGAGGAAAAATTAAAAGTCAGTATCTTTCGATCGAGGAAGCAAAATTCGGAATGTTTCCTTTATGCCATGCAAACGTATGATTGAAATGACGTTGATTTTTGACGAAAAATCCGAATCTGAGCATAGATTTTGGATATCACGTTTTAATCTGCTTAAAACTATGGGAGAAAGAACACGGGCGGAGAAGGAGCGATACCAGCGAGGGGAAAGTTTTCCTGTTCGAAAAGTCCAAGCCCGAACCATCTTATCTTACCTGGTCACAGGAGCAATGTACGGCGGGTTAGGCACCTATTTGGAAAACTATTTACTAACCCGCTTGTACTTGAAACCATTCAAGCTGGGTTTTGGTAAAAACCGTGAAAAATTGTATTATTCGCACTCCACTCTGGATATTATTCTCAGTGGCGTGGCGTGAATTGCGATGTATCGATTGTTATGCCGTCTAAATCTATGGTAAAGAATCGATTATTTAGGTGTTCGCTGCGAACACCCTGTTTATCGATCCTTTTCCATAAGTTTAAATGGCATAACAATCGATACATCGCAATTCACGCCACGCCACTGATTATTCTCCACATACAGTGGGGCACCCAACGGTCACCCCCGCAGATCTTGCTGTGCAAGAAGGGGGGGGGGCAGACGCCTAGGCTGCCATGATAGCGAAGAAAGCAGTAAGGGACGAATTTTCTAAATCGAGTTTCCTTAAATTCGTCTAATCTCTCATATGAAATCACTAAAACAACAAAATTCATCTTATTTTCATGAAAACGAGACATATGAAGAAGTCGTAAGTGCGCAAAAAAAGCCGTAGTTTCGCAGGCAAAACAGCAGTAAATGACAATATTCCTACAGAGAGCCAATGAAAACAATGCTTACAAGTAAAGTGCCGCCGCTCTTCTGCCGATTTCTAATCTGAAAATGTCTTTGTTGTGTGTCCAAAACGCAATGCAGTAGGTAGATAGCACTTACGACTGTCTTGCCTAACAATATAACCTAGCATGAAAATTAAAAATACCCTTTTTATGAAATTAAAATAAAGTCAGTAAATTTTTAATCATCCAAACGATTTCTAGGAGTCTTTCGGACGATTAAAGATAATTTGAGAAAGAACGGAAGCTTTTTTCAATAAAATTTTCCGGTCAGATGCTTCTGAGCCGGTTTACTCAAAACTTCATTTTTACACTTACTGCTCTCTTGGCTGTCATGGCAGTAGGGGCCCTTAACCGCTATGATTTTTTTTTTTTATATTCGATTCGGAGGTATGGCTTCAAACTTTGAGTCTTTTCTTACAAAAGCCCCCCCCCCCCCTGAGTTTTTGCTTATCGGTTGGAAAGTTTTCTTCGGCTGTCAAATTTCTTGTAACCGCCGAAAATGATACAGTCTTTAAGCTGATTGTTTTAAATTTGAACGGAATGGAGTGAAGGTTTCTTAACAAATTACTTACCGAAACACCTTTCACTGATCGATGGTATATTATATACCTCATTCCTGCACGTAAATCGGGATGCAAAATCATTTATACCCAACAGTAGGTACTAATAATCTTCCAATTTCACTGCAACTTTTCTTTTCTAGGAACGTCTTGGACCAGAAAATGGCAATTTAGAGAAACTAGAAGAAAAATTACGTCTAGCCGAAACAGAGCTGGAGTGTGCCCTCCAGCGTGCAGAAATAGCTGAGAAACAAAGTAAGCTCCACCTCCTAACTAGTAATAAACCCTATCATCTATATTTAAGACGTGATGGCTCAGCGATAAATGAACTGCATTTTGCAATTTGGAACTATAAATTCTGGCTCATCTGAAAAAACACTTACGTGCATAGGGAAACTAATGTTACATATGTTGTTTTTAAACCGCGCCAGAATTTATAGTTCCAAATTGCAAAATGCAGTCCAAATGTGATTAATTCTTGGACTCCAAAAAGCCCTGCCGGAAAAATTTATAAAGCCCTCACCCTCACCGAGGCATTCCTTTCTAAGCATTCACTGCATATCCTCAAAATAATGATACTTCCATTTGTATCTTCCTTCACATTCATACGGCGCAATGATACAACTATTTGAACTCTCCGGAATGCGTGAGGTATTACGCCGCATTTGAAGGCGTTTTCAAAACAGCCAAGTTCCGATACCCGATACCGATTATCGTTTTACATAGTTCATATTATTTTGTTATATTCCGTACCACTCGTTTATTTTTAATCCTCTTAGAAAAACCACCCATTTGCTAAATACAATTCTAGCTGGTGCGCACTTAAGCGCATTCATGACTGCAAAAATGTTAACGGAAATCGAAAAGGCCAGCGTGCATGAAGGATTGAAGGCTATCTCCATTTAAATCTTCCGTCACATTTCTAAGGCGCAATGATACAACTATTTGAACCCTCCGGAATGCGCGAGGTATCACGCCGCATTTGAAGGCGTTTTTAAAACTAACAAATTCCGATACCCGGATTATCGTTTTGCATAGTTCATATTCTTTTGTTATATTCCGTACCACTCGCTTATTTTTAATCCTCGTAGGAAAACCACCCATTTGCTAAATACAATTATAGCTGGAGCGCACTTCAGCTATGCATTCACCACTGCAAAAATGTGAAAGGAAATCGACACGCCCAGCGACGCCCAGCGTGCATAAAGGCTATCTCTATTTAAATCTTCCGTCACATTCTTACGGCGCAATGATACAACTATTTGAACTCTGCGGAATGCGTGAGGTATCACGCCGTATTTGAAGGCATTTTCAAAACAGCCAAGTCCCGATATCTGAATAATCGTTTTGCATACCTCATATTATTTTGTTTCCATTTCTAACAACTTGTTTTTAATTATAATCCTCCTATAAAAACCACCCATTTGCTAAATACAACTCTAGCTGAAGCGCACTTAAGCGCATTTATGACTGCAAAAATGTTAACGGAAATCGAAAAGGCCAGCGTGCATGAAGGCTATTTCAATTGTAATCTTCCGTCGCATTTCTACGGCGCAATGATACAACTATTCGAACTCTCCGGAATGTGTGAGGTATCTCGCCGCATTTAAAGGCGTTTTAAATCAGCCAAGTTCCGATACCCGGATTATCGTTTTGCAGAGTTTCCGGGATTATATAACTGATTCCGTCTTGTATTTTCTGTCTTGGAGTTAACGAGGAAATCTAAATTTTCTGCTTCTTCTTTTACAGTTGAAAAGCTGACCGCTGAGAAGCAACAACTAGAAACGTCGGGTCCGCCCCCTCCGCCACCATTGATGGCTCCCCCTCCACCCCCTTTACCACCTCCGCCCCCTCCTCCTGGAATGTCTCCGCTAAGGATCCAAAATCGCACCACTTCAGATCGAGGTTCAAATGGCGATGAAAGTGCCGTTTTGCAAATGGCGAATCTCCTAGGCATCCAAAAGAAACCTGTCAAACCTATCCAAGGAAGTGAGTGTTCCTACTATGACTTCTTAATGATGGTGAAAATCGCAAAATGCCCATCTCGATCGCGATTTTTCAAAAGGACTACGTGCAAAACGGGCCATTTGGGGCTCGGGGCAGATACCTTTGAGACTTGCCCTATTCATTCACCTAACAATGCCCCATCTTTTCCCAAAGTTTCAAGCCCCCCAAAAATTTTGGGGAGACGCGGCGGGGGGTCAAAGTTAAAAACCGGCAAAATTTTCGCGAATTTATTACTCGAAAACCAAGAAGTTTTGGAAAACGCGGTTTAAACGAGCGTATTCAGCGTGACGAGAGCTTTCAGAAAATGTATAACATCATAGGGTTTTGTCAACTTCAGCTCGAGTTATCGCCTCCGAAGCGCCGGAACGCTCAAAAAAGACCCCTTATTTTTTCACGTTTGGGCCGATTTAAAAAAAAGCCATTTTTTTATTTTGATGAAAAACTGATATGTTGTTCCTGACTCTCTGTAGCCCCTCTGGCTCTTTACCGCATGCTGGGGAAATGTTTTGGTCGCGAGTTATAAGAGCGGAAAGGAGCGAAGGTCGGAAAAATCGGCTATTTTAAACTGCGCGCGCGGCGTTGATCGGAGGGAAAACGTCCCCTCCCACTCAGTTCGGCGAATCACACTCCTCTGCTGACTTCGCATTGTTGCCACATGTCTCCTGATTCGTCGCCGCGCGCAGTTTAAAATAGCCGATTTTTCCGACCTTCGCTCCTTTCCGCTCTTATAACTCACGACCAAAACATTTCCCCAGCATGCGGTAAAGAGCCAGAGGGGCTACAGAGAGTCAGGAACAACATATCAGTTTTTCATCAAAATAAAAAAATGGCTTTTTTTTAAATCGGCCCAAACGTGAAAAAATAAGGGGTCTTTTTTGAGCGTTCCGGCGCTTCGGAGGCGATAACTCGAGCTGAAGTTGACAAAACCCTATGATGTTATACATTTTCTGAAAGCTCTCGTCACGCTGAATACGCTCGTTTAAACCGCGTTTTCCAAAACTTCTTGGTTTTCGAGTAATAAATTCGCGAAAATTTTGCCGGTTTTTAACTTTGACCCCCCGCCGCGTCTCCCCAAAATTTTTGGGGGGCTTGAAACTTTGGGAAAAGATGGGGCATTGTTAGGTGAATGAATAGGGCAAGTCTCAAAGGTATCTGCCCCGAGCCCCAAATGGCCCGTTTTGCACGTAGTCCTTTCCCTGTAGTTTTATTTTTTTGAAGAAAAACTAAGGAGTATCATTGCTCAAAATTCCACGGGGTGCTAATTGCAGGTCAAAGAAAATCAATCGAAGTCATAAGAAATAACGTTCGTCTGTTTGCTTCCAAAAAAATAAAATGTGCCAAAGAAATCTGCAACGCCGCGAATTGAGATAGGTACACTTTTAAATTAGAAGAAAAATTGACCGCTTGAAAAACAAATGGCTTAATGGCAGTTCTTTTCTTCTTTCTTTCCGTCTATCAAGTGAATATTTAGCGGAAGTATTCAGCATTTCCGATTACACCGGTGGTTTGCCGGAAATACTCTCTGATTGCGCGCGAAAGTATACAGCGTGAGTAAATATTTACCTGAAATGTTCAGCGCTAACGGTTACAGCAACTGATCACCGGAAATACTCTCTAATTGCGCGCAAAAGTATAAACTGTCTCTGTCAGATGAATATTCACCGGAAATATTAACTTGACGCTGTACCTATAATTTTCGCTCAATTAAAGAGCGTTTCCGGCGATCATCTGATGCAATTAACTCCATAATGTTCAGTATTTCCGATGGATATTCCCTTGACGCTACTTCTTTAAGACAGCGTTTTTGGGAGCAAATAGGTTTCAATTACATTGTAAATACTTCATCCGTCTCATTTTGGAATATGAGACAGTTTTCTTCGGCAATGTCGCCATCTATAGAATCTTACTGCTTTAAAACGCCAAAGCTCCAGCTAGGCCGACAACGGATTTTGAGACGAGGAAGAAAAGTTCCATCAGAAAAACACTGTCGGCTTCATTTTGCTAGAGATGAAACCTTCTTCCGCATTCTTCGAGCCCTCCTGCTGTGGAACGCCCCAACTCCGTTTAGGCTGACATTTCTTCACCTTCCGCAGCTAGGAGTACGAACTAATTAGGCTGAAATCGGTAACTATGGATACTTCTGAATAGCCCTTAAACACATTCAATGATGCTGATTAAAGTCTCAGCATGCACAATTGCACAATACACTTTGTCGTGTAATGATGAAAGCAACCATTAAAAAAGCCGTAGCAGGCTTCTTTTCGTGAGCTGCGTACTGTTCAGTATCACGATTCTCGACCACAGGAAATTTATTTAAGACTATTTAGAAGTGTTCAAAGTTACTGATTTTTGCGCACTTAAATGCTAATTATAAGTAATAACTGCAGTAGGTGCATTGGGTTCTGCAGAACCTGCAGAATTTTTGTTTTCAGTTAGTCTTGAGCAGATGTTGAAATTAATAATTCAGCTTCAAGAATTGTTCTAACATGGTCTGTTATCTTTGTTTCAGTTGCAATCGACGATCTTATCAATGAAATTAAAGGAGGGAAGTTTAATTTAAGATCGACAGAGGTAAGTTGTACAATTTTATCAATCGTACAGGATTTTATGATGAAGTTGCATACTTTCAAACAAAACTTACAAAATTAATTAACTTATATTGGTTCCATGCTTTTGTATTCATAATCATGCAACCGAAAATCTAGATTTTTTTTCTCTCTCTTTTTTTTTATTGGTACTTACATGGTTCGGATTTTAAAAATATTTTGACAATCATGTCTCTCGAAACTTTAAGAGACCAATTTTTCCTCTGACTTGCGTACATCACCGTGAAAAACAGTGAAATTAAAGGCTATGGAATACTTTTTTAACATGACATTTATGTGGATATTTTTCTCTCTTTTCTGATTCTAGAAACAAACTACTCCCAAGAAAGAAGGTGAACCTCCCGCAGTGGTCCAAGAAATGAGAAATATTCTCGGCACTTTGCGAAGAAGGCCGAGAAACTCAGTTTCGGATGAAAATGTTTCGAAATGAAATTGGCTCAATAAGTATCTACCTTCTGGTGGCACATTTTGTTCCTCAAATCACATTTTCCGCGAAGACCATTTTTATATTGTTACGTTACCTGTCCCTTATACTTGTTAAAAAATGTGTGCATTTTTGTAGTACCTTTTTATTGATTTTTAAACATTTTATGCATGACTTGAAACACGTGAAGTACAGAGCTTCCTCGGTATTCAGTTCGTTGATGATAAATATTTCAGTAATTCCAACTTATTTTAATGTATCATTTTTTTCATCTTGTGCCTATACTATATTTGATAAGTGAATGATGTTAGTTAGTGATGGTAAATATTTCAGTAATTCTAATTTATGTTAATTTCTAATTATTTTTCATCTTGTGCCTACTTATTTGATTAGCCTTTAAGGCCTAATTTTAAGACCCCAAAAATTATGAGCTTCACCATTTTTAGAAAGCGTGCTTTGATTTTTTCTTGTGATATGATAAGTTATTAAGTTTTTATTAATGACATCATGATAGTTGCTCTGTGAATTCTGTGATCGAGAAAATTAATAATAATAATAAAAAAGAAGAAAAAAACCCGTCTTTGAAACATTTTCTCATTGTTAGTTCAAATAAAATACTCTCTCAATTATAATTGATCCATTTGTATTTTTTCCTTCGCTCTGTATTTTCAGAGGACCATGCATCCGTGCCATACCAATACCTAAGTATGTGTTGGTACCGCACCAACGTGAATATTGTCTTTTGTCTACGGTATCAATATTTAAGTACAAGTTCCGTCGATTTTATCAAGATAAAACCTTCATTTAATTGGAATAAATTTTCTAGGACCATTAATATAAGAAAATGTTGACCAGATTTTCTCAGGATGAAATTTTAATTCTAACATGAGCAAATTGCGAGGATCATCAATATTAGGACAATCTCAAATTTTTTTCCCGAAAAGAATATTATTCATTCAATCACCCTGATAAAAATTGGCGAAATGAGCTGCATTTCAAAATACCATAGGAGTTCTTAAAGCCGACTAAAGAAGGCTATTGAAAATCATATAGTTGGCTGTAGAAAGCGGAGGAAATCATAAAGCCGGGCTATACGAAGCTGTAAAAAAGTATACAGTCGGAATATAGTTCCTATCGCCGGGCTTTACACTTTATCGCCATTGGCTATAAAAGGCTATAAGAAATTGTGTAGAAATTCGTGTGCTTTGGAAATCATTAAGTTTGATACGGAACTACCTTAATATTTACAAAACACACAATATATTTTCCTTTAAAACATTTTTTTATTCATCAATTAAAATGAGAATAATCCATAGAGAGTGTGCAAACATTTCAAAGTAATGAGTTGAAAAACGCTGACTCCTTGAGACTAAACATTAGAGCCTAACACAAAGCGGAGCGGCGACGCACTGGCGCCTACAAACCTAACAGGGATACTTCTCGCATTGCGCAATGCGTGAAGTATCCCTGTTAGGTTTGAAGGCGCAAATGCGCGTTTCGCGCTCTCTGCCCGCCCGCCGCGCCGCAGCGTGCCACGGCGTCTGAAGCAACTATTTCACACCAGAGGTATTGCACAGTATCATAAGGAATTGAGGGCGCTCCAACATATTAAGAATGACAGGCATCCTTCAAAAGTACGGAGCTTTCCTCGCAAAATAAATCAAGATACTACGGCACAAAAAGAGAGCGGTGGTCCAAAAACTAACTAAGTCGTAGTATCCGTATTTCGTAACGTTTGGCATAAAATTTATCGTCTGGCTGTTGCTTAATCGCCATCGGCTATAAAAGGCTAAAAGAAATTGTACAGCCGGCTACAGAAGCTATTGGAAATCTTACAGCCGGCTTTAGGTCTATGGTATTGTGAAACACAGATTCTACTGCCAATTTTTACCAGGGCAATCGTGTGGAGATCTTGATTTTATCAATACGAATTTGATCGGACGATCAATGATTTAGAAAAGTCACGATTTAGATATCAGTGCGATACTGATGAGGAATTCAGACGTTGAGGCAGAGGGGTGCAGGACGTTTATGAACCAACGACCGACCAGTCGTTCGCAAACTGCGTAGGTGGTGGGAAAATTGCGTAGGTTGCAGCCTTGAATAAAAGAAATAAATAAAAAGTATTACAGTTTGATCAAAATGCGCTCCATTTTTGCGTACACCTTCCGAAGTTGTGAATGCGCGCTGCCCTACACTGTGCGGTGCGCCTGCGCATTACCAAATAGCGTACGCATCTCGAAACTTTAGCGTCATTCACGAGTCAAGAGCCAAGAACGAGATTAGAGATCAGTTCCGCAGCGACAGAGTTTCATGAAACGTAAGAAAGATATGAAACACAGAAACTTTCCGTTGAAAAAGTGGGCTTGTGAAATCTAAAATTTATGACATTTTTTGAACTTTTCTTTTTTTAAGGGGCTAGGGATGCAACCCGCACTTAGATGCCTGAAACCTTGGTATACGGCATCTAATTTTCAATTATGCATTACTTATAATTCATAAATTTCGGTTTCCGGAAATATTTCAAAAAAGATTCCATGATTTCAAATTTCAAGAAACTTCGCCACCCTGCGCAGCGGTCTCGGGAGAAACGACCGCAGTATGACGTTTGAAGTATACCTACAGTTTTGCAGGCGCTTTCCGCGATTGTTTTTCGCGCGAAGTTCATAGTATAAAACAATATATTGTGCCTGTGAAGATGTGACTGATTTTACCAAATTATAAATTCTTATTATTTGTTGAAAGCTGTGTACGTACTTTGTCTTTGTCTCAAACTTATGTTAAATTTGTTTTATTCTTTATTACTATTATTATTGTTATTATTATTCTGAAGGAACACTCAACGCACGGTTTTTTTACGAACACTGATGACAGGAATGTTGATATTTCGTAAAGATTAGTGCGACCGCATTGATTTTTACAAAACGAGTGCGAAAGCGTAGAATTTTTGAGAAACTTAATGCGACCGCGTTTGTTTTTGTTAGAAAATTACTGCGAACGAACATTGGCGGTTACAGCAAATTGGCAACATTGTTTTTCTCCATTTATACCTATGGAAATGTATCGATTCTTGGAGGGGCCAGGTGCCCCTCCAAGAATCGATTATTTAACACAGGTTTAAAGGGAGGAAGTCCGGTGTTGCCAAATCACTGGATCCGCCTCTGCGAACGAACAAAGACTCAGAGCGCAAGGCGCAGGCTGAGTCCCCGGTTGCTTGAAGGCTTAGGGTGTTGCCAAATCACTGGATCCGCCTCTGCGAACGAACAAAGACTCAGAGCGCAAGGCGCAGGCTGAGTCCCCGGTTGCTTGAAGGCTTAGATACACACGGCGATTAATCGCCGTGTATCTAGGCCTTTAGACTACAAAGGTCAAAGAACTTTCTGCACCCCTGGCAACACCAACGAATAGAAACCCCCCCCCCCTTCCATCCAAATAAAACTTCCTTTTTTTCTTTTCTTTCCTTTTATTTTTCAAGTAAGAAGTATAAATCAATCGTTACATGAATATTTTGAAAAGGTACATTAATTCACTGAAAATTTATATGAAGTAGTCTCATTTAAGGATTTGTGTTTTCGATGAAAATAAGGTAGTTCATGACTGACAATAATCATCATTACATTATTCGATGGCAATAATCAAGAGAGAAAACTGAATAGGATTTCCAGAGGATTGTTTTACTTATAAAAAAGATAAGAGGGCCTCTTCAAAAAAATATGTCTATCCTTTCTTTTGGAGAAGACTTAGGTTCCCATTAAATTATAGAGAAAGATCCCAAATTAGAAGAGAGCATAGAGGTATTGAAACACTTGGAGATTTCTTGACTTTTCATTCAACAATTAACCGCTCGAGGATAAATTCTGATCAATTCAGATTGTTTTACACAGAGAATTTTCCAAAAATCGTCAGTAGGTACACAGTTAATACAAAACTTAGAACGTAAGGAAACAGAAACCTATTTACAAACCGTGAAACTTCAGCATGAAAGAAGAACATGATGGCAATCAATCGAGTTTAGGATTGAATTACATGTGCAACTTAGAATGTCTTGGTTTAGTTTGGGCCTTTTAAAGAATGTTCCTGAGAGGAGAAAATTCCACATTCATTGATAATACAGCTCTAAATTCATTCCGTCATGAATTTCATAATCTTCCAATTTTATATGATCCTTGAAAATTGTGTACCATTTTTTTAAAACTATCTTCTCCCAGCGTGTGCCAGTTTGAGCTCCGATCAGTTTCTTTAGATCACCAATAGTATCACTAGGATTGCACTTAACTCGTACTTTTTTCCCCAGCCTATCGTTGCACGTTACTTCCATCATTTTGAGACTTGAGGATGAAGAACGCGAGAACAAGAAAATTTACCGACAATCAGAAACTACCTCCTGTTAGAAAGTGAATGTCAGTGCTTACAGTTTCTTATGATTCAGCAAAGTTTGATGCCAGGAATCTTCAATCGTTACTTCTATTGAGAGGTGATGTTCCGTTACTATTTTCTTTCAACCAATCTGAAAAACGATACATCCAATTACAAATCAGAGACGTAAAAATCAAACAGAGGTCGGTCCATGTCAAATGAGACGTGGATTTTTCATAACACTAAATTTTGATGAGAAGCGGTGGAGGTTTAAATTTTGAGCAAATAATGAAAGCCTACCATTTGATGCCTCCTATTTATAATACTTAGAACGGAAGTTACAAAGGTTCCATTTCCGGGAAAATCTTTTTAAATTCCCTCACTTCGTCATAACTCTAGTTTTAATGTAGACAGGAGACAAAACATTTCCCTCAATGAAAGATCTGAACTTTTTTTGTCAGGGCGTCAACAGAAATCTAAAAACAAAAATATGACATTTATAAATGACTTTCCATGCATGACGATTTTTTCTCAAAAAAGTATGACCAAGAAGCTAATAAAAAAGCTTTCACGCCCCATTAAAACACAGCTCGTGGAGAACACATTCCACCATTAGAATAATGAAGATTGGAAGTTACGATTTCAAGATATTAAAATTATCAACTGATACAAATAACGGTCTCCGGGTTGCAAGTTTGATCCGATTTCAAAAGTCCCTGACTTTCCCTGACTTTTTAGGGAAATTCTCTGACCAGTGGCCTCGAAATTTCCGGACTTTTCCCTAACTTGTTGGCCTCCTATGGTGTAGTGGTTGTAGCGCTTGCTCTATGATCGGGAGGTCCCGGGTTCGATTCCCGGCCAGGCGACCCGAGTTTGATGGTCTCAAACAATTGTTGCCTGGGACTGGTTCAGTAGGGACGGAGGGAGGATGGGACTTAAAGCGTGGGATTAGCCCTTGAGGGCTATTTGAAGTAGAAAAAAAAAAAAAAAAAAAACTCGTTATAAAGAAAAAAGAAAGGAGTTGATTTGAAAACAGCGATGCAATCTTTGAAACCTCGCAATCATAATGTATGTATGCGGTCAAACTTGCAAATAACCTGAATACAAACACATAACGCTAGGAGAGACGCTAGAATTCTAACTTTTGCAACTTATCTCAATGTCAATATCAAACTATTATTCTGCCGGGAAAATCGAGTAAAAGTTACTGGACGTCCCACTGAGGGAATCTATACTAATAAAGCAGACTTCACGTTGATTGACTCACTCACTGACTCACGTATCAGCGGATCTCGTGAACGGGAGGCCGTGTGACCCTGAGATTCCGCACTGGGATCCCTCTCTACCCCGAGGCGCCGGATAAGGGAGGATTTCGCGATCCGCCCGCCGGTTCGCGGGATATCGCGGTTCGCG